AAGAAATGAGTACCCCTTCATGTAAAACACATTACCAAGTGGTGCCATTATATATTGTCCTATAGCACATGTGCTATATTGAACTGATCAGGGCCGTCCACTACTGTACAACAGAGGATCCCGATCAATTTATTCTCCTCTTTACTAGTCCTTTAAAACTAAGTCCTTATATGAATGTAAATAATGAAGAAGACATGCACACTACATAGATGATAGAGGAGGAAAATATACTACTAGTAAGGCTTTGATGTGGGAAATGGTCAGGGGCATTTTGGCATCTCCTTCATTTTTCAGCTGCAACAGGAACTGCAAAAAATCCTTATTCTCTTTGTTTTGACCTTCTCCATCCATCTTTAGACGTTGATCAATCAACTTACTAAAAATCCGATCAAACCACTCTGTCGATTCCCCCTGTAAGTCAAATCTACCCAAACTCAGATAAAAATCTAATATGTTAGGCTTCACCAACAGCCTGTAATCTTTGTGATGATATGTCTGAACTCTACCCTAAGGTTGGTCTTTTCCTTTCCTGTTACAGTGCCACCCCACAACATGTTTGTAATCACATTGAGGAAAGTGGAGAAAATCTGCTCACCAAAGTTGACTGGCGATCCCACCATATTGTAAACTTCCCCAATTGTTCGCCAAACCTCATTGCGCCGTAAAGTGTAGACAGAGTCTAGAGTGGCGTTGCTTAACATTTCACGGACACACACCCTCCTCAGCATGTGCCACTCAGGTCCATATGGAGTCCACACGATGTCAATGCCACCATATAAACTTTCCTTGGTGGCTATGGAGACATCCCGGTTGGCAAAAGTGGCATTATGGTCTTTGAGCACCTCGCGTGCCATGGCAAGCGAGGTGATCATGATGCTAACCTTGTTACCGAGCCAGAGTGTAAAGATCGGACCATAGGTCCGAGCAAGGCTAGCAAAGTAAGTGTGAAGCTCAGGGCTAAGAAATGGTAGGCTTCCGACTAAGGGTAGGCCTAGTGACCCCAGTGGCAATGGAGGTTGTCCTTTTCTCGACTTTGAGATGGACATCCTTGCAAACCATGATATGGTGAGGACAACGAGTGCAAGCGTGAGAAGTATGCAAGCAAGCTCATTGTTGGCATTGTTGCTCTACCACCACCATGACCAAGCTTCGAGGATGAAGGTGTTTAGTTTCTGAAGCATTTGGGCTGTTGGAAGATCTAAGAATGAAGCGGTTGAATACAACAGGAGGAAAGGGTGTGCATTGGGAGAAAATTAGGAGTTTCATTGACAAAGTATATATTGAACTTCTCTCATGGACAAAAGGGAAAGATAGCATCTTTTGTTTGGGAAAGAATTTGGCAAGGGAATCTTCTGTCACATTTTTATTGTGTGTGTGTGTCTAGATTAAATGTCAAAATGCAACAACTGCTGTTAATTTCTTTATTACAATACCAAAGCTCTGAATTTAAAACTAAAAGTATTAAAAATGTTAGTGTGTGTGTGTACCATTTTGCATCCATTATATTAGGAGATTTCCAGACGAATATACTTTTTACTGCAAAAATCATATCAACTTACGACAAAAACTAATCATCCTTTAAAAAGTTCATGTCTGGAAATAGAGATTTGATCCACCGAAAGCAAGTAAACTGGTCAATCAAAATAATTTATTATGTGGAGATCAAGGTATAGACTTGTGAATATATTATGTAAGAACCATGAGTTGACAAATAATTAATTATTTGCTCAACTAAGGAGATTCCTTGAAACAAATTAGTGATCTTTTTAGTCTTTATTAGCTCCAACTTCTTATATTAAGTCATATACCACTCTCTAGCAGGTCCCGTCCAGTTTTGGCCTTGCTGGGAAGGCTCAGTATGGCTGTGATCATCTAAGGTTTGTTATGGCACTAATTGACATATTGTATCAAACTAGTATAACAATTTGTCTACAGAATTATTACATAGATGTACAAGTACTATATATATTTTTTAGGCCTAATTTCACAAAACCCCTTCAACTATCAATTTTCGTCGCATAACCCTCTAAACTATTATATAATCAATCATCAAGGAACATGAACTATTTCAAAATAAATCAAACTACCCCTATCTGTTAATTAACCGTTTAAACATTTGATGACCAGAACACCCTTTCAGTGTCTAAAATACCCTTACAACCCATTATATAGAACTCATCCTTCTAAAAATCCCATTCTCAATCATCTTCTTCATTTTTCACATTTCACCACCAAGCCCTAGCTCATCCCACTCTTATTTTATTTGGTGTCATTTATGAAAAACTTATGAAGAAGCTTCTCTAACATTTGTTTGGAATGAAAACATGAAGTTATGAATAAGCTTCTCTAATATAAACAAATGAAACAATTAAATTGACACCTAAATTAACTCCGCATGTGTTCTTAACACATCTGGTCTCAAGCCCGGATAAAGGTGGAGGGTGGCGTCAGGTAACTTGACAATGAGCGTAAAACTTTGTCATGATCAATATGAACATGAATCCTATGAATACACAAGTTGAACACCTTTAGAGGTGTTAGAATTTGTACAATGAAGATGCTTTCCACACCATATTGTAAAATTTAACCTAATCCATTTCTAAATCTGAACAAATCAAAGGTCAGGAAAATATATATATATATATATATATATATATATATACACATACAAATGTCAGTGGTTTTTCCCAATTTCTTTTATCTACCACAGGTTCCTAATCCTATAAACAAAATCTCAAGAATTATATAGAGAAAACACAAAGAATATAAACCCAGATTATCATGTACCATCATTAGCAAAATTAAAGAGAAAACAGAACATATTATTTTTCTTAATAACATAAATGAAAACAAAAACACAACTTTGGAGAACCCAAACAGTCAACCATTAAAGAAAGTTTCAATATTCAAGGTTATACATATGTATATTTATTTATATATGCATAACTTCATAGAGTTAGTACCGAAGCATCTTCTCTGAGATCTTGAGACAAGTCGGATCATCATCTACAACAAGTACCGGAAAACCCGCCGGAATCTATTCGGAAGCCCCATCTCCGGATGTAGCCTGCAGATTTTGCATTCAGTTGTATACAAGTAATACAACGACGTCGTTTAGGATTTATGTACAATGTGATAATAGGGTCCAAAATTCTTGTCCAGCCCATTTCGATATTAAATTGATTAGACGCGTGAACTAATTAAGCAGTATCATTTTATCTTTTAACAACTATAAATTCAAAATTTCACACTTATCAATATAATAAAAAATATATTTAAAATTCACTATCATAAAAAGTTGGTTTGTCAAACACCTCAATTATTTTGAGATAGAGCTAGAGAATATTAATTTTAAGGGTTCTTTTGGTTAGGTAGAACTACCAAGAAAGAGAAAAGAATTGGAAAATATTTAAATTTTTTGTGCGTTTGAAGTAGCTAATTTTCTTTAAAACGATTCCTGCATAAAACACACGAAAATTTTTATTTCTCAGAAAAGTTGTAAAGTTGTTAAGTTGTATTTTAAATTCCTATTATACCCATAATTATCAGTTGGATAACTTGGGTTTCCTTTATCTTTTTGTCCCTTTTTGATAGACATCGTGAAATTGGAGAGATCTTATTTTTAGCAATTTTTTTAAATCTATTTTTATTGCTTTATTCTTTTTTTCCCTTTTTTTTTTCTTCTGTGTTTTTTTACCTTCCAAATACATATATACATATAACATATTATGGTGGATATTTTTTAAGTGCATTATATTAATTTTCAATATGTATATATACATATCAACTACGTTTTAGAATTTTGATACTAGAGTTATTATAAATTTTTGGAAATATGTACATTCCTTAAAAAGAATAATACAAAATATTTTATAGTTATATAATTCTAGTTACATTCAAAAAGAATCCTCGTAAACTTGGTTGTTATATGTAAAATTCTATTGAATTTAGTTATTCTATTATATACAAACAAACATTTAGTAGAACAATCCTAATCTTATTCGATTTCATCAAAATCCTTACAATTACTATATATATTGTAAGGTCCAAATCATATATATATATATATATATATATATATATATATATATATATATATATATTTTTAATAAAGAAATTCCAGTGAATTGGTGTCTCACACAAGTTCGGAATATTATTATCAACAACAAAATTTGATACATGAATTAATTTTACTCAAATTTATTTATATTTTTAATATTTAAAATTATAAGGGCAATTTTGACAAGTACAATCATTTTCTTTTCTTTTTCATTCTATCCAAACTAACAATATAATATTTTCTCACAATTTTCTTGAAAAATTTTCATACTTACCAAATGCACCATGAAAACTTAATTTTCATTCACTTTCACTTTACTTTCATTCACTTTCACTTTCCATCATCTATTTCTATTTAACTAAACAGACTAGGTAAAGGAGGAAAAAAAAAAAAAAAAAAACAAACAAACAAAAATTACCCTTATGCTATAAATCTCTAATATATATATATATATATATAAATTACCCCTTGATGGTCAATTTCGATCAAAATTTTTTATAAAAATTTCAATTTACCTTTAATAATTCATGTTTTTTATTTTTAACTTATCTTAATAGCATTTTAGGTATTTCAGTTTTAAAATAAATAAATATATATATATATATATATCTTTATTTACTCAATTTGAAAAAAGTAGTGACTTTTTTTTAAGATAAGGAAGTATTTACACATTCTGTATATAAGAAGGTTTTTTTTTTTTTCAGTTTACCCTAATTTTAATAAACTGAAAAGGGATATTTATGTCATTTTTCTATTCAACAAACCACTGCATTCACATTTGGCCTTATATGAAAAGTTTATTACAATGTGGTCGTAATAAACAGCACAGATCGCTCAGGGCTAAGCAAACTAGGCCATTTATTTGTACTTTGTTAAATGCAATAATAACACAATGTTTTTGTCTGCACAGTAGTAAGCTTTTTTATTATTTACCATATTAGAGTCTATTGACAAATTTACCACAGATAATTACTAATACGAAGTAAAACGGAATGCACACACATACACATTGCCGACCTGCATTTATCAAATGCGCCCACACTTATAATATTGTCTAGAGCTCAAATGCTCGATCGGTTATTAAGCTTACTGATAAAGTGAAGTATCAGACAACCTTGGTGTTGGAATTGCAACAAGAGGTACCTTCTTCTTCACCACAATGCCGAACTTCTCCGAGAAGTCTAATTTCTCTCCTTCAGGCAATTTCCAATCAAAGGAATGTAAAAGCGAAGCAACTAAGAACATGAACATCCTCTCAGCCATGGTAATCCCTGCACAAATTCTTCGTCCCGAACCAAACGGAATATAACTGAAGTCATTTCCACTGTAGTCCCATTTTCCATTCAAGAACCTCTCGGGAACAAACTCCGAAGGGCTTTCCCAAACGGAAGGGTCTCTGTGAATAGCCCACACGTTGACGAAAACACGAGCACCTTTCGGAATTGTGTAGCCCCCAACCATGCATGTCTCGCTGGGACAGTGAGGCACCATGAGTGGGACTGGTGGGTGCAAGCGCAAAACCTCTTTCATCACTGCATGCAAGTATGGTAGCTTGTGAATGTGAGACTCTTCTACTGTGTTATCTTCGCCAACTACTGTGTCCAACTCTTGTTGGACATTCCTCATCACTTCTGGTTTGTTCATCAACTCTGTCATGGTAAACTCGACTGTGCTGGCTGTTGTGTCCGTCCCACCCACCACCATATCCTGTCCACATATCAATATATATTACGAAATGATAGGTCAAATAACATACACCGACATAACACACTGAACATGGAAATTTAACGTAATTCAGCTTATAACCTACTTTCACAGTGAAGATGACAGGAGATTTTAGCATGCAAATAAAAATCATATAGTCTCTCAAGCCCTAATTACAGTATACTAGAACTTGTCTCTTTGGACCCACCAGCTAAAGCTAGTGATTTCTTCTCAATGGATCATTTCTACCCAAAAAAACACTCATTTCTAATAATAAAAAAGACGAACTTATCTAACGGACGAAAATTCTATCCTACATCAATCGTGTTCTCAATTCACTGGTATAGTGGTATCCACTTGTCAATGACAAATGCTTGATTGTAGATGATCGATACAAATAGTCAATGTATATATCTCTTCTACTAATCATTATTGACTATTAAGTTGTTTAATTATATATAAACAAATGTTTGATTGTAGATGATGCCTTTCTCAGTTATAATATATATAGGCCAGAGTCAGCCAATAGTATTAATATACTCATTTTGAAGGTGACTTATTGCTGATGAATGCGTTTTTCACACGCTTTGATTATGAACTTAATTATTTCAATCTTCTCATGACCATGATAAGGTACTAACTCTAAATAAAGATTTCTGTAGATGCAACTATATTCCTTTCATGTCTTCCAATCAATTAACTGATTTATTTGGTATCTAGCTTATCATGCCCCTTCTATGGGATCAACATGACACACTCATGTGATTCATTAACCACATAAATATAAGAGAGAAATATCTTATGTATGATGTTGCGACGGTTATTATGAGGGTTTGAAGAGGGTATATAGTCTTTTTTATTATTACACCAAGCAACAAGTACATTTTATATAAAAGAAACCATTACATATTGTCCTTCAAATCACGTTTAATTCTCTACGGCACAGCATGCGTGGTGTACCACTTGAGACGTCGTAGTGTGTGAAGTGATCTAACTCGTTCACTATTGTACTGCATAGAGGATCCCATTTTAACTCTAATTTACTCGTCCTTAATAACTAAGTCCTTATATGATGAACGTATAACATGGATGATAGATCGAGGAGGTAAACATACCACTAGTAAGGCTTTGATGTGGGACATGGTGAGGGGCATTTTGGCATCATCTTCATCTCTTAGCTGCAACAAGAATTGGAAAAAATCCTTGCTCTCTTTGCTCTTACCTTCTCTATCCATTTTTATATGTTGATCGTTCAACGTATTAAAAATCTGATCAAACCATTGTGCATTGACCTTCATCTGCTTCTGAATGCCCTGCAAATCAAACCGAGTCAAGGTCGGGACAAAATCCGATATGTTGGGCTTGGCCAATATATCAAACATCTGCCTGATGTTCTCTCCGAACTCTGCTCCAAGTTCGGCCTTTTCCTTTCCTGTGACAGTGCCACCCCACAACATGTTTGTAATCACATTGAGGAAAATGGGGAAAATCTGCTCACCAAACTTGACTGGCAATCCCACCTGATGGTAAAAGTCTCTAACTGTTCTTCGAACCTCACTGCGTCGTAGAGTGTAGAAAGAGTCTAGAGTGGCATTGCTCAGCAGTTTCTGAACACACACCCTCCTCAGCATCCGCCACTCAGGTCCATATGGTGTCCACACGATGTCAACTCCGCCAAGTGGACTTTCTTTGGTGGCAATGGAGACAACCGGCCGGTTTGCAAAAGTGGCATCGTGGTCTCTGAGCACCTCGCGTGCCATGGCAGGCGAGGTGATCACGATGCTGACCTTGTTACCAAGCCAGAGTGTAAAAATTGGACCATAGGTCCGAGCAAGGCTGGCAAAATATGTGTGGAGCTCAGGGTCCAGAAATGGTAGGCTTCCGACTAAGGGTAGGCCTAGTGGCCCTGGTGGCAACGGTGGATCTCCTCTTCTTGCACACCGTGATATGGTGAGGACAACGGGGAGGAGGAGAGCGAGCATGACAAGTATGCAAGCGAGCTCATGGTTAGCAATGTTGTTGCTTTGCCGCCACCATGTCCAAGCTTCGAGTACAAAGGTGTTGTGAACCATTTTATTATGTCTCGGGGCTGTGGGAATTAAGAGCTAGGAAATAATGAAACAGTTGCATGAATACAATGGGAGGAAATGGTGTTGAAAGTGGTGGGTGACTCATTGGGGGATAATTAGGAGCTTCGTTGACAAAGTACATATTAAACTAACTTGTCATGGACACCGAGGACAAGATATATATATATATATATATATATATATATCTTCTATGTATTGGTATGGAATTTATCTACTACTTCATCAAAGTCTTCTTGGACTTTTTCATCATCTCTAATTGTTCTGTAATTTCATCACTGCCCACCCATGCAAGCATAGTCATCACAGAAGTTGTAAAATGCTGATGATAAATTTCAAACACAAATTAAGAACAAAAGCTTTCACACCCCTAAACAGAAAATGGAAAGTGGAATCAACCAAGAGCAAGGCCCTGAGATGGATATTGATGAAGTATACTTGGGATCTCCATGGTCCAATTACTGCACTCGAACTCGCAGAAAATCCATATTTCATTCACCAGTTCTTTCTCCTCACCTTCTACCTGGTTCATCGTTATTCTAAGTGGCTCTTCAACAACAGAATCAAATATTTGATCAAACCATAATGGACCTTCCTTAGCCGAAGCAACACACCTTGTAAATCCAACCAAACAAAGGCTGGAAGGAGTCCGAAACTTTGGGCATATCCATCAGTCATTGAAGTTGCTCTTCAACCTGCCAAAATTCTATTAATAATCCCAAACCTGCTTGCTATCACATTATAAAAGGTCAGAAGCAACTGCACAGTGATTTGAATCGGGATATACCTAAACTAACATAAACTTGGCTCACTAAAGTCTGAACCTCTGTTTAGCAAATGCTACAGAATGCATGAAAATTCATGCTTTTTGAATTGCCATAACACATATTTTGTGTCCTACATGTCGTTCATATAACTGATGAAGCCAGCAGCTGCGACATCACAACTAGCAAAGGTAGTATCCAGTTCCTATTCAATCCTTAATCTAATCAAATCATGGAGAATGATCATCTCTAGTTGATAAAGCTCGGAGGGTGGGGGGAATGGATACGGGTTACAGAAAGAAGCAGATAGAATGCAATTTTAGGACACTGTTTATACATAGTAAAGCTATTTGATACTCTTATTTGAACCTGTTGTGCAGTTACATCACATGAATTTGTTGCTGTCAAGAAAAAAATATCATGGCTTACAAAAACATTATCAACGTTTAAATATCGAGCTGCATTATACTAAAAGCTGAATTATGGATAAGTAACAAATTTTCAACATTTATAACAACTTTTCCAAAAACCCCAATTAAAAACCATACTGAGATATTGTCAACCCCAAATTCCCAAAAGGTTCGATGTTCATACACATCAAATGTAAATTTCTAGAAAGCCTAAGTGGGCAATATGAGAAGGTAGATTAACATAAGTTGACTGCACTGTCAAATCATTCTGTTAAATTTTTACAAACCATCAAGATACTGAATTAACAAAGTAAAATTTAACAAATTGTGTAGGAAATTCAAAATTGCATTCTTAGTAGACTAAGCAGAGACCTTACATTTAATTTACTAAAAAGAGACATCTGAGAATGGTAACTACAACAGTGCAGTGATTCGAGCTAAAAAGATATTCGTAACAAACATATTTTCACATTCTGACATGGTTTGAGTGTATGTTACAGAGACTTACAGTATTAAGTGAAACCCAACAAACATAACTTCACACCATCAAACAGGATGAACTGTCCCAGCAGTCAAATGTTGAAACTAAAAAGAAACATAAATTAGGTGCATAAATAGTTTATTTCAAGGTCAGCATCTCATGCATATTTTTAATTTCTTCATAATTCAGCTCCACAAATCAACAACACTGATACTAAGAAAAGCATTTCTCAAATTTTTATCCATAAAAGGTTTTGGTGCTATTACAATTTTTAGTATATCCTTCGACTAAACGACTGCAAATCTCCGAATAAGCAACAAAAAGATCTAGGATCAATGGTCAGCAGAGTACTTTAAGATGACTCCTTTACAATTGTTATGGGAATCACTAACCATAATTAATTGCAAGTTCTGCACCATATTCTCCTCCATCATGCTTTTTCTGTATGAGTTCTCACAAACCATATATAGATTGTTTCACACTCGAATGTTTCTGCATTATATGTTTTGTCGTACCTCAGAGGGTCACATCTCATGTGCCTGAAAATCAAGAGTCTCGCCTCATGCTGTCACCATCTGAAACACTATTACACATTAACAATAAACTGCAAATTTGAACAGCATCATCTTCTAAAATTCTGTTACATCAATCAATAAATGAACCAAAAAGTGAAAACAGAACAGTTAGGTTGGCAAGACCACATAAAACGAAATTGAAGGAAATCCGACTGACCATACTTGCATAGAACATATGCATACAAAGTCCGTTAGCAGGTGAAGACAATCCAAATCATTAGTTGGACAAGCATAGCTTGTTCAAACCGAGGTCAGAACTAAAGGTCAAGCCAAGCTCTCTTAGATGAGTTATAAGCTAAACAAGCTAATGAAAACCATAGCTTGTGCAGTTCTGAGAAGTTCAGCTCATTCAGCCGCCCTAATGGATGGCTTTCAATCTTCTATAGAAGGTTCTTATAAAACCATTACTATCCCATGTAATAGGAACTTCAAATCTTGCAAAATACAACTTGTAATTATAGGTATGGGATGTGTCAGCATGTAACTAGCAGATGTGTCCAATAACATAGAGAGAATAAAACCTTCATTGCCTGCTAGTGGTTCTAAGAAATACTTGATATGTTGCTTAACTAACTTGAATGTTTCAAATGAGTGAAGTATTCATGTAGGGGAAGCTACATAATAGACAACTTGTTTCAGGCTTTCAGCCCAAGATATATATATATATATATATATATAAAATAAAATAAAGAAAAAAAAAAAAGAAAAGAAAAGAAAAGAGGATAATTTCACATCTAAACTATAAATCTCTCACCTACACGCTTTCTTTAAGAAGTATAACTGACCCCTAAGGTCCTCGACACATACTTCTGTCAACATAGTTCCTAAAATACCGTTCAATCTAACGTGACGAACTCTAATTGACATAAGTACAGATTTATATTTAATAAGCAGAATACTCTCTCTAAAATTGGGATAGTGTTTAACAGTGAATCATATGGAACTTTTAAAACAATGTCTAAACGACCGAGTAATAATAATAAACTGTGGGACCTGAGCAAAGTGGGGTGTAGAAAACAGCGTGAGATGCAGCAAAAAATTTCTTGGGCATTCAATTTCCACAAGGAATGAATTTTTTATTTTTTATTTATTTCTTATGCAATTTTATGTTCCAAAAAAATGTCAACATCTTCCTTTTAGTACTACATCATTTATCAGGACACTGTCATCAATTCCAAAATCTGATTATGGTAAACTGGCCAAAAAATATGATACATCATCAACTAAGACTACCGTTGACCTTTAGACTAAAAGTGGAACAAGATCGTATCTCCTGAAAAAGTGAAAGCCTCAAAAGATAAATGTGGGAGATTAAATGCAGAAAGTAGGATTAGCAATCAACTTCTGAACTCATCATAATTAATTTAAATAATTGTAAGTACAGAGTAAAGCCGTATACAAAATCAAACAATCAAGTATCGAAATTTTTTGTTTCTTCTTAACTTACTCGCAAGGTCAAGGACTACCTCTGCATTCAAGGGGTAGATTGTCCAACCATGAATCATCGAAGAGAGGGGACGAAGATTCAGATTCAGTGGGCCATTCAGAACTAACATCTATCTCATCATAAATGATCGGTTTACATTTCCCATCCCTACTTCTAACAATGGCTTGTAACCAGAGATTGCAGTGTACAAAAACCAGCTCATTGAACTTCTCCAGCTCCATCCTGTTGCGTTTCTTGATATGTATACTCTCAAATGTGCTCCAGTTCCATCTACACCAGTGAGAACTACAAGGTTGACCCAATATTCGTATTGCAGCTCTCTGCAGAGTTGGAATCTCATAACCATATGCTGCCCACCAATCACCTATGGATGCATAAGGGCAAATAAATAGAAGTGTGTTGTTTAAGGAAAAAGAATACTTAATGTGGACATTCTTTCAAAAAAGATTAGTGATGGGCAAAACATCTGCTTCTTTCCAACATGTAGCATTTATCTAAAGTGAATCTGGAGCCAACAATTAAGGGGCTTCAGAAGGAACCCAATAGGAACAGCATTAAAAAATAAAAGCAAATTGAGACATACCTGGGGCATTTAGTGTCCTACCCATGATTGCAAAATCAGTCCCGAGAGCACCTTGAGCGTTTATGTATATAGGATTTTCTTTAGTAATTTCTATTTTATCTTTATCTTCAAAAGCCAATTTCATCATGGCTTCTTGAAACCCGTTCCTCATCCTTGAGTCGATCTTAAAGTTTAGACTGTAGAAAATAGAAGGATTAAGGAATGCTGCTGCCGCATGTAATGGTGAGTGAAGCTGCATATTCCATCTCCTATCAATTATATCCCAAATTGGCACATATTTTTCTTCTATACCCTTATAATATGACTTGATTGCAATTTTTGCCCTCTCCATTCCTTCATATATATAGCCCATAGCAGGCATGTCTCCATCTATGATCCTTAGAATTTTAACTAGTGGTTCGGACACACTCACAGCTTCATGTGCAAACTTCCAGAAACTCTCCATATACAACAAGGATTTAATAGCTTGAGCATCAGGACGCCTGCTATAAATGGATGACAACCACTCTGAATGAGAAAACATGTGCTTCAGGTTGTCCTCCTGTATCACAATGGCCCTCAAGGATAATAAATTAGTGACAAATCTAGTAATTTGTGGCCGAATCAACTCCCTACCACCGGTAAACTTTCTCATCGTATTAAGAATCCATGCATGACTATATATGTACCTTGTGATGGTATTTGCCTCGTCCAAGACTGTACTCACCCACTCTTGTTTACTGAAATCTTCCAAAATCTTATTAATACAATGTGAAGCACATGGAGACCAGAATATTGAAGTGTACTTGGCCATGAGAAGCCTCCCTGCATAAACATAGCTAGCATTACTATCTGTTATTACTTGAACAACATTTTCAACACCGACCTCCAAAACAACCAATTCAAGCAACTCAAACAAGTAATGAGCATCATCTGCACGACCAGATACATCAATGGACTTCAGAAAAAATGTCCCTTTAGGGCATGTAACTGAAAATACTAAAAGTGATTTGGTCCTATCATCAGACCAGCAATCACACAAAATCGTGCAACCAGTCTCTTTCCATTCATCTCGTAATTTCTTGTAACTATCATTTACATTGCCTTTTACTTTTTCCAATAGGGTAGATCTCAATTTTTCATAGCTTGGCGCTTTATAGCCCACCCCACACTCTGCTACAGCATCCACCATTTCCTGATAATACATGGATTTAGCAGCGCTAAAAGGAATAGAATTGTGGAAAAAGAAAATAGCAATCTTCTTATCAGCATCATCCTGTTTTTGCTTCTGAGCATCATCTACTGCTGGCTGAGCACTTGGAGAAGGGCGTGGGAATAACAAAGACGGGCATGTACTACCATGCTGTCCACTAGATCCATGGTTAGGATTGATGCCACCACTAGCAGAGGAGCTGTTTTGTTGACCGTTGGCTGCCCGATCAGCCTTTCGTTTCTTTGGAGTTTTCTGTTTCTTGGGGGTGTTTAATATACTCCGTAGCTGGTCCCTCACGTCATCAGGAACTTCAGCACAGGGAACTATGTCTTTGTTTTTTATTTGAGCCAAATGAAACTTCATCCTGTAAACCCCTCCACTAAATTCCCGTTGGCAGTAATTACACCTAACCTTCTGTCTAGTCGCATCAACAAGGACGCAATGTTCCCAACACGCGTCTCTTCCTCGGACCATTATCAATAGTTTAATCCAGAAAGATTCTCTATTTTCCCAAATAAAACAAATAGACAATTGAGTAAATCAGATATTAGATTAAAAATTCCATCAATAAATTGATATAGTATTCAGAATCAGAACTATTCCAAAAAGCAAGAAAACATATGAATATTAAACAAGAAAAACAATGAATGTAGTACAAGTACAATTCATAACTTCAATAGAAACTACAACTAAGCCCATTAAAAGAATAGTGTTTGCTATAAGATAAATCAACCCTCAATCGATAAGATTCTCTATTTTCCCCAATAAAACAAATAGACAAGGAGTATATCAGATATTTTTTAGGTTAAAAATTCCATCAATAAATTGATGTAGTATTCAGAATCAGAACTATTCCAGAATGCAAGAAAACATATGGATATTAAACAAGAAAAACAATGAATGTGGTACAACTCAAAACTTCAATAGAAAAAACTACAACTAAGCCCATTAAAAGATTAGTCTTTGCCATAAGATAAATCAACCCTCAATCAATCCTATTTGGTTACCAGAAGATCCTTCCCAAAGTTTTATCAAACTAATCAAGCCAGGGAGAGGCATTTCATAAAAGACTATAATCCTTGTCAAGCAAAATAACTTGTATTGTTTAACACTTTGTCAACAGAATAATTAAACAATGAAATAAATTCTACAATATGCGGTGCACAGCGGGTTGAACTATTTTCCTCAATAACTTGAGAGTTCTACAACCTGAACCTATGCATGATCAAATGGGATAGTAACCCGTGGCATGGGCCCACCGCTTGCATTCAGCAGGCAGGCCTGCAGTGATGAATAGCAATATGAAGAGCTCCTCACCTTTTGTGGCTCAAGAACTGACATGGGACAGAGCATTTATAATTTTGAAATCTTTTCTCTCTTTATGATAATTGCTGATGCTTCATAAATTAGAATATATTATTTGGACAAGGTAGCTTGGTGCTATCTGATTTTCCAAAATATCGCTTTGTCTAATTATATTCAAAAATTGAGTTTAACATCAAAAACAAATAAAAGTTCCTTCACAAATGTTGTCCCCAAAACTGCTGCAGGACTCTCAAATACCTGCCCATTGACATATTAAGCCTTGGTGTTACATCACAGAATCCAAGACCATTACAAATCCAATGGGTCCAATTTGCAATCAACCAAGATATGAGGACACAATATATAGCCTTGTCGCAATGGAGTTCCACATTCTCAATCAACACTTATGATGCATATTTGGTACCCACTTTGGGAAACCCCTGCCCCTACTCCACATGAGGTTTCATCTCCAATGCAAAAGGGAAAAAATTAAAATAAAAAATAAGTACTATAAGAAAAATCAACTTGATCCATGCATTTTGAAATTTGATCTAGGCAATTTTATATGGACCATCGTAATGAGAACTTCCGTGATCAATTCAATAGAACAGTTTAAAGCTAGGAATTAGGGTTGATATGTTATTCCAGGTGCATGTGGATTGACTGAGGCTATGGCCTAAAATAGAGAGGAATGGAACATGAGATTCATGTCGCTGACTCCAAGTAATCGGGAAAAGGCTTGGTTGTTGTTGTATGTCATTCCTAATACCTTTTGAAATCTCCACTACCCATAATGAGAATGCTATGAGGTGAAAAGCTGCGAGTAGGGGAAGATTTGTCGAGTTGTTTCTCTACTACTGCACGAAAATAACATTTCCACATCCCTTCCACATACCATTCCTATACTTCACAGTTCAAAGAGATCCACGACTTACGTGAAGAAAACAATCTATGGTAACCACCCAGAATGAAACTCAAATGGTATTTCATCCTCCTCTCACATGGAAGGTTGGGTCAAGTCCAATTGAGGCAATAGTTACTTGAGGGCATATCATCGGATCTCAGGTTATGCATTTTTCCTCAAATTTGTAACCGAATCTGATTTGGTAGTTTGTGTAGCCACTAATCAGTATACCAGAAATGATACTTTTTTCTAGCCTTTTAAAATCGTGATTTGAAATCAAAGCAATTAACAGGGAAGAATTGTTATATAGTTATCATACCAACACTGCCTTTATTAAAAAATGTGGAACAAACAAGAATCATGCTCAGATAACGAACATAGCTAAAAAGAGGTTGTCAACATGATAAACGAACAAGAAAAGAAAAAAGAAAATGAATGAATCAATTAGAAGTTAAAAGCTAATATATATTGATGATTATATGACTACATGTCAACAACGAAAATATTCTCATCTCAAAGACCACCAAGAAATACACAAATATTTAGTAAGTAATTACCAGATATTAGCAAAGTTAATATTATATATGAAGTCACACAGTGACTAGATACCAAATATTATTTTAAGATATAAATAAAATTAAATTGAACCAAATGCTTACAAATATATTTACCTGAATTTGAATGAGCTATAGTTCATTCTTTTTAGCATATAAATAAATTTAGATGCTTACATATTTATATACATATTTATCTGAATTTGAATGAGCTATCTTTCATTATTTTTTAAATCATCTATATCGAAAATCTATCTGGAAATGGGATCTTCCTTGTCTTCTCTTTTGTTGTTGTTGTTGTTTTTTTTTTCCTTCTGAATTTGGGTAATTAACAAGCAGAGACCTAACCATAGTTGAGATCATTATCTCTATAAGTGACAAGTAGTGTCCATAAAACCATCATTTTTTGTAAATAATAAAAGTGCATATGATTTGTTAGCACGAACAATTCACTGAACACAGAGATTTAACCTCCTATAAAACCCTAGGCAATGAATTGAGATTGATAGATCAGAAGAGCCTAGAAATAAACATATGTGTGCTTGTAACTGCGTGTGTACATATATATATATATATTGTGTGTGTGTGTGTGTGAGAGAGAGAGAGTGTGAGAGAGAGAACATATACGTATTGAAATAGTTTAGAGAGAGATTTAAGAGAGAGAAAGTGTGTACATGATTAGAGAGGGATCTCGGACAACGGTTCTCTATGTCCGGCGGCTGTAAGAAGCTGGAAGCTGACGGTAATCGGAGAGATCGGCGATGGAGATCCGAGGAAATGAAAACCACGGCGATAAATTAGCAGTCCTCGCCAAGCCGACTACCGAGGACGAGGAGTACCGCAGAAATCGTTTCCTTTCACGTGATCCGCGCGTGCCCCATGCAATTGTTTGTTTTTTTTGTTTTTTTATTTTTTCCTTTTTATATGTCCCATGCAATTGTTCTTTTCCTTTTAACTTGTGAATTTATTTATTTTATACCACTACCAACCAATTTCTTTTGGAAGAACGAATAACATTGTTTTAATGTTTTCAATTTTTGAATACAATACTCAAAAAGGAATCCACAAGGTTTAATTTGGTTTGGTAAATTAAAGTAAAATTGATCTTAATAGTTTAAATGAACTGAATCAAATCAATTTACTTTATAATATGATAAAATAATAATTACTTAGACCTAACTTTTTATGATCTAATTTTTTTTTTTTTTTATATTAGATAAGTAACACAATAATTACATGATAACAAAAAAAAGTAAAACATTATTTTATTAATATGCTTAAATGAATTATGGTCAAAACTATAGAATAGTGAAATATATAACCTTAGTTTAGTGTGATGTAAGCATACCGTAAACAACACTTATGAAGTAGTGAAAATCAGAATAAACACGTATAAATATTACGGTTTGATTCAACTTAGTACAGTTTTTATGACATTTAAACTGAAAGAAACTAATCATAACAATTTTCTTAATTTTAAAAATAAAAATTAAATTGTTGATCCACGTAATTGAAATAAATTATATGATTTCAATCGATTTGGTTCGAAATGATAATTTAAATATATTTACGTGTATTTTTAATAAAAAAATAATAATGTTAATGTAGAAACGTATGAGACGATTCATACTAATAAATAATTAAATTAATGTTGCGTTTTGGAGTACTTTTTGGAATCGGAATTAAAAGAAATTTAGTTCTAATTTTTAATTAAATTTCTTTTTATCTCAAATTTAAATTGCCAACTTAATACTCCCAAACATATCATAAGGGTATAAAAATAAACCATAATTTAAGGATAAGTTTTTGAGACTAGGCATCTGGGTAGGGGATAATGCCGGATAAGTTATTCTATGACAATGTTTGATTTAACTACTCAATATTCTCTGATAATAATAATAATAATAATAATAATAATAATAATAATAAAAAAAAAGGAAAGTCTTATTCGCACTCTATTTTTTTATGTTTGCATTAAAATCTTAAATGAAATGGCAATCATAACCTTAACTTTACAAATAAATGATTATTACTTTTTAAATGACATAACTATCCTTTCAAACTTTCTCTCATTATCTCTAATCTTTAATATTTTACATCTCTTTTGGAAAGATTAAAAAAGAAATAAATTTGAAAAATATTTTGTTTCGAGGACCAAAAAAAAATTTATATTGAATAAATTGTTTCTTTTGACCAGACCAAAAATAAAAAATGTACTGTAACCATTAAAATAATTATCTCTTTTCACAGGAGGAAAAAAAAAAAAAAAAAAAAAAAAAAAGTACCCAAAAAATAGGATTAATATATATATATATATATATTGAATAAATTATCTTTTTTTATAACACCATAAAAAATATATATTTCTATTCTATAAATTATTTCTTTTGATGGGACAAAAAAATAAGAATACCTCTTTTCACATGATTGAAAAAAAAAAAAAAATCAACTTTGTTGAATAAATTATTTGTTTTGATTGCATCAAAAAAAGTCACGAATAAATTAAGGAAAATTACACTTAAGTAGATTTGAGAGTCTTAAATAACAAATCTTTTTATTTTTAAAGTTAATTTTTCAATTTGGTCGAGTTAGGTAAATAATTACATATGCATAAATAACTATTATTTGTGTCAAAAATACCCTCCAAAATATTATTTTAAAATATCGAAATATCCTTCCTAAATCAAATAATTCTTTCATTAATAAAATTTAGAAAAACAAGATTTTTGAGTTTACTTCCAACTTGTTATTTTTGCATATGGTGTATATATTACCAAAATAAATAAAATAAAAAACAACATATATATATATATATATATATATATATATATATTTGTGCAAAAAAATTTAACGGTATATCCTAATCTATATTGCTTAAAACTTACAAATGTCAATTTAGGAATATACAAAAAATTTAGTGAAAATTCATTATGTATAGAATTTTTTATTTCTGTAAATGGAAATTCATCATATATGTGTGTGTGTGTAATTTTAACCATATCTCCTAATTCATACCAATAAAAACCTGCAAATGTGAAAACTTTCGTATGAAATAAAATATATATATATATGTACACATATATAGTACATACGCAAGATAAAGGGAAATCATGAAAAAACTAAATGGTTACTTTAGTAAATGGTATACCAGTAATAAATTTTTTTTCTTATTTATAAAACAAATTTAATTAATTGAGCCAAAAAATTGATGATTATCTCAAGACATGTACCACAACAAAGACGATTTATATATTTTTGGGACTAACCTTTGATTGCCCCATTTTTTACTATATTGAATATTTTTTATCATTTATATAAGTTCTTGTGTGTATATATATGAAAGTTGCAGCAATATGGTTCAAAGTTAAAGGAAAGATCTTAATTTTTTTTTTTAATTTTCAAAAAAAATAAATTATTTAATAAAGTACTTGATTTTAGGGAACATTTTAGAGCTAAACAATAATTATTGATGCATATGTAATTATTTTACTTAATTCAACCAAAGTGAAAAATGAATTTTTGAAATAGATCATTTACTTATTTAAGACTTCTAAGTATACGTAATTGCAGTTTTCCCAATAAATTATCTCTTTTGACTGCCAAAAATAAAATTATCAATATGAAATAAATTATCTTCTCTGAGAGGACCTTCAAGAGAAAGTATAGCACAAGGAAAGACCTAAAACATATATATATATATAGCCGACGTTTCATCAAATCTTTTTTTTATTCATTTATTTATTATTATTATTTTTAAAGTGATAGGAATATCATTCTCGAAGAAAAATGAACAAGAATCATCATTTCAACTTTAAAAACAATTACTAAATTAAAGAATAGAAGCAAAAGTATTCGATCCTCTAACAAAAATTAAAAAAATAAAAGTTTGGAGAAAGAATTCACCAGGCCCACTGGGGATTATGATATGACAACGATAATTATATGACAACGATAATGATAAGGATGATATGTTATTAAAAATAACATTGGTCGTAATTGTAAATGGTGATGCCTATCTCTTTCTTTAGAAGGTACTAGAAGAGCCAGTGTATATATTCTTCTCGCGCACACACTACTGTCTCGCTATCGAACCCTCGCGAAACATTACAGTATAATATATATATATATATATATATTATCCTATATTACACTCTTTACCCCACTTCGGTTCAATATTGAAATCGTCCGTTTGATCCAAAATCACCATGGACGCAGAAAAGGTGACCCAATTGAAGCAATTCATAGACCTCTGCAAGTCCAACCCTTCAATCCTCACCGACCCTTCTCTTTCATTCTTCACTGACTACCTCCAAAGGTAACACAAAATCATATGTATACATGTGTGTGTATATATATATATAATATTAACAATGCTTGTTGAATCTGTGTTTAATTTGGGTTTGATGTGTTTCAGTCTCGGGGCTAAGCTTCCTTCATCAGCCGGAGAGTCTGCTAGTAACAAATCGGTAACTCATATTTCTTATCTTTTTGGTTGTCCTTTTGATCCGTTTGGTTGTCCATTTGCGCAGAACAAATGAAACCATTGAATATGAAATTCTCATTGTTTGAGACCAGACAATGGATCTTCAGTTTATGATACCTAATGCAGTTATATTGGCTTAGTTGAATATTTTTCTTTGGTCCTCCATTTTCACGGCAATCAAACGAAGGGGTAGGGTTTAGGGTTTTGGTTCTATTTATAAATCTGGGAATCATTACCAGATGGATTTTCAGTTTATGATACCGAATACAGTTATATTGGCGTAGTTGATTTTACTCTCTTTATTCTAAATTCTAAAGTAACAGGCATCATGAACTTGAATATTTTTCTTTGGTTCTCCTTTTTTACAGCAACCAAACGAATGGGTAGGATTTATGGTTTAGGTTCTATTTTAAAATATGCGAGTTGTTGATTAATCTAAATTTTTGGAATTTTGGTGTCCTGAATTTTGAGTCAGAAATCTTATGTGGTGGATGAGAGTGATGAGGACATGGAGGATGCTGAGGATGGGCCTCAACCCCAAGCAACTGTTGATGAAGAAGAGGAGAGTGAGATAGTTGAATCTGACATTGAGCTTGAAGGTGAAATTGTGGAGCCCGATAATGATCCTCCACAAAAGGTCTGGAGTCACATTTGTTTATTTTTAGTTTTTGTTTAGGCTTTTGATACATTGATAGAGATTTTTATTTTTAACATATTGAATTTTGTAGATGGGAGACCCTTCTGTCGAGGTTACAGAAGAAAATCGTGATGCTTCACAGGCGGCAAAAGCACAGGCCTTGGAAGCAATCTCTGAAGGTATACAAATTTTTTCCCCATATATGTAAATAAGTTTAAGTGGATATATTCTTATCAATGCCTGGATACACATATGACTTCATTTTTGTATTTAGAACCAGTTTACTGGATTTTGAGGCTTTGTGTTGATCAGGTAAGCTGGAGGAAGCGATTGAGCATCTCACACAGGCGATTTTGCTCAACCCAACTTCAGCAATTATGTATGGAACCAGAGGTAAAGCTTGATTTGAGGCTTATACTGTTGTCTGTCAGGTTTTTTTTTTTTCTCTCTCTCTCTCTCTCTCTCTCTCTCTCTCTCTCTCTCTTCTTTGAGATTTAAAATTTGTAGCTTATTTTTTTTTTTTTTTTAATTTTTTTTGTATATTTGATGTTTTTTACAGCTAGTGTGTATATCAAAATGAAGAAACCCAATGCTGCTATTCGAGATGCCAATGCAGCTTTAGAGGTTATTGTCACTTCCCTTAATCTGCATATGAAAGAAGTCGAAAGTTTATTTTTATTATTTGAAGTTTAAATAAGCCTATCGTGCATGCAAACAGGAGCATTTGCCAATATGATGCGGATTTGACTTTGTTCCATTTATACCATCATGTTTACGCAGATAACATTTGCATGTGTAATTACTTATATCATGCATTACTTATATCATGCATTATTTACGTGGGTATGAATGCTAATATAGCTTCCAGAATATGTTTAGATGCAGTTATTGTTCACAAAAAAGAGGCCATGCACCTTATCAACAGGATGTCTGTGATATCCAAGCTTGCTTAGTTAACATTTTCATCTGGACCATTGCTTTATGTGCAATAAAGATGGGTTCAATATGTATTGTGATTTTCTCAATTGTTTCTTACACTTTTTTTGAATGCTTCGCTCAGATTAATCCAGATTCTGCTAAAGGGTACAAATCCCGTGGCATGGCGCGAGCAATGCTTGGCCAGTGGGAAGAGGCTGCCAAGGATCTTCACTTGGCATCAAAGCTGGACTATGATGAGGAAATAAATGCTGTGCTTAAGAAGGTTTGTCTTTTTTATTGTCTGAATATATCTCTTTGTATTTTTGTAATGTTATCTTCTGATAGGTCACTGTCTTTGATTGTTCCATGCAACAAGGTGTCAATAAAAAGTTATGATACTGCTATAGAGGTTCTAGGGATTCCAATAAAGATGTTTGGATTATAATTAATACATGTCTTAATTTGTTGTAGATTGTCACTTCAGTTTTTGGTTGACGTAGGTTGAACCCAATGCACACAAAATTGAGGAACACCATAGGAAGTATGAGAGGTTGCGCAAAGAACGAGAGGAGAAAAAGATTGAACATGAGCGACTGCGGCGACGGGCTGAGGCTCGGGTAATAATTGTTCACTCATCTGCTAATATAGTTAAAGATGTTATTTGTTTTTTCCGGCCTAATGTCTTGTTCTGCATTCTTCTCTAGGCTGCATATGAGAAGGCTAAGAAGCAAGAGCAATCGTCTTCAAGTAGAAGAGCAGGAGGCATGCCCGGTGGGTTCCCTGGGGGTATGCCTGGAGGCTTTCCTGGGGCTGGGGGTATGCCTGGAGGCTTTCCTGGGGCTGGGGGTATGCCTGGAGGCTTTCCTGGGGCTGGGGGTATGCCTGGAGGCTTTCCTGGGGCCGGGGGTATGCCTGGAGGCTTTCCTGGGGCTGGTGGCATGCCTGGAGGTTCTCCTGGGGCTGGTGGTGTGCCTGGTGGTTCTCCTGGGGCTGGTGGTGTGCCTGGTGGCATGCCAGGAGGAATGCCTGGAAATGTAGATTTTAGCAAAATATTGAATGTAAGAGTGTGTTTACTTTCTATGAATCTGCTTCTATTTACAGATATTATGGAGTATTAACTAAGATTTTAGATGTCCACTAACTGGTACCAAACATTTCATATGCTTCTTCACCACCACCAATGATGTATTTTATAAGATGATGGCTTGATTTGATTTTGTTATTATTTGGGCAGGACCCTGAATTAATGACGGCATTCCAAGATCCAGAAGTTATGGCAGCTCTTCAAGATGGTACATTTTCCATCTCCCTGTCTTTTGTAATTTCCTTTTTTTCTTTAGTTAAGTGCATTAACTTATCATCGTGATACGGTAGTTATTGTGATTAATAAAGATGTTGTTTTATTTCATTATTTAATAATTTTGGGTTGGTTTAATAGTGTATTTCTCCATTCATGCCCATTTAGAAAGGTATTGTCCTCGTCTTTTTTAGAAGAAGGGAATGCCAATTCTAAATGGTGGTTTGTCATTGATTGTGGTGCTTTCATTGTTTAAATTAACGGTCATTAGGTAATGTTATTAATGGGTGTAGATATCAGTAATAATGGGTGTAGATATCAGTAATAATTCGTTGAAATTTCATAGCCATAACACAATGGTACAGTGCTTTTCGTAATATTTCTGTCAGGACACATAAAATTAGAAGTGAGTTTCATCAACTACTTTCCCAAGATAGTCACTATGTTAAGATATGATTAAGTATTCAACGTTCATGATCCACATTTTGAGACTACTATTAAGGGGCACAAGGCATATTATTGGCCTTGCATCTCCCTAAAATTGCCCTCCTCAGGTGATGGTTCTACATCATTTTTCATCATTAGTGTAGTTATTGGATTTTGCTGCACGTAGTCGAATCATCTTAGGGAGTTTAACTTTATCTCCAGTTGGTGCTAATTTTAATGTCTTGTGAATGCATTAATTGTTGATGGTATATTTTTTTTTCATTACATACCATCTTAAGGATATTATTGGCCTTCCATCTCCCTAAAAATTGGCCCCTCTGGGTGATGGTTCTGCATCTTTTTTCATCATTAGTGTAGTTATTGGATTTTGCTGCACATAGTCCAATCATCTTAGGGGATCATCTTAGGGAGTTCACTTTATCTCCAGTTGGTGCTAATTTTAACGGTCTGTGAATGCATTAATTGTTGTTGTTATATATATATATTTTTTTCATTACGTACCATCTTACGCTCTGTACTTATTTTATAAACCTATTACTTATTTTATAAACCTATTATTTGCTACTTCCAATCTTTTGTTCCATAAATTATGGTTTGTCCTATAACTGTTTATAAAATTTTATTTCCAACTTTATAGGTATACGATGATCAGATAAAACACTAGAAGCGCTCCTTCACTTAAACCCAATTTGCTTTCCTTCTATGAAGAATTATTGTCCATTTTTTTTCTGAATATTCCACCCAATTTGCTTTACTTCTATGAAGAATTATTGTCCATTTTTTTCTGAATATTCCATGACACTTTCTATACAGAGTACACACTGTTATTATGTTACATTTTAACTTTAAAGACATTATGCTTGTTCCCGTGACAACATTTAGAAAATTTATTATTCACCCCTCAAAGATTTACAAGCATTTCAACTTTAAAGGCATTATGCTTGTTCCTGTGACAACCTTTAGAAAATTTATTATTCACCCCTCAAAGATTTACAGAATCCCATATACGCGCGTGGGCGCCCTATATTTATATCTTTATAAAAGGGCATTACCCATGTATGTGTACACTCTAATTTTATTTCTTTTTCTTTCCTAATGAAACCCTAGGTTTTCTTTATCCCCTCTGAATCTTCAACCAGATGCTCTTACTTCTTTTTTACCTCGTTCTGTTAAGAACTTACGAGTTTCTTCAAAGGGAGGAGGGGAAGAAACTACTATGCCAAAAATGGCTAGTTGTAAATAATTTTGTTTATAAATAATGTTGGCCAAGTGTATTAGGTATTCTTTTAAAAGAATATAAGCTAAGAGTTATATGATAAAGAAAAATATATTACAATTAATTTTTAATTTTTTAAAATTTCATTTACATAGCACAAGTTCCGCCCTCCCAAAAAAAATTTCTGAGCTTGATTGGGCTGATTTTATTTGATGATTTTGTAATATTGTGTCTGTAATATTATCTTACTATAGATGCTTGTTTTGTTTAACACGAGTGATTGCAATAATTGTGCTTGTCGATAGTCCTGGCATCATATACACTCATAGTCAAGTAGATGGAGTCATGGAATTGTTATGGTACTGTGAGTGTTGATGATGATCACACTGCTGGCAATTTACTACTAGTTTTTACCTTAGAATCTAAAGCAGGTGTCATGAGTGATTGCAGTAATTGTGCTTGTCAATATTCCTGGCTTCATATACACTCATAGTCAAGTAGATGGAGTCATGGAATTGTTACGGTACTGTGAGTGTTGATAATGATCACACTGCTGGAAATTTACCACTAGTTTATACCATTTCTTGTCAAAAAATTCAGATAAGGGTGTTCTTTGTTGAAGTTGAAATTTGAAATTTCAATTAGTTCTTCCCTGTCTGTCCCAATTCCCACCCTCCAGGGAGCATAGATTTCTGGAACTTTTGCTGATTTCTTGTTTTTTACTATTTATTATATAATTTTTCTTATCTTGTTTTGCATTTGGCAGTTATGAAGAACCCAGCTAATCTTGCAAAGCATCAAGCAAATCCCAAGGTGGCTCCCATAATTGCTAAAATGATGAGCAAATTTGCAGGATCCGAGTGAATAATGAAGCGAAAATGCTTGTGAGGGGGCTCGGATAGGGTTTACTATTTAAGTTTGTGTGTTTCATGGTCTTTTTTGGAAAATCATACGTAAACAGTTCTTCAAGCCTTTTTACTTGCATCAATTGGTATAGATGAGATTGTTATGGGGTCAGAAATTTCATTGTGAATAGTTACCTGGCATTGCTTTTCTCTCCAGGGAAAAAATTTAAAACTCTGTTTTTGAGTTATGTTTCTGTGTCCCTTCTATCTGAACAGGTGGGGATTAATAAAGACGACACCGTGACTGCAGCATTAATCCTAAAGTGCGAAGTACAGGGGTAGTTCATCTCATCTGTTTCGGTTGCGTGCCATCTTTTTTGAATCCAAACCAGGTTGCTTGTGATTTATGATCGAACTTGCTTCCCTTTAAACAAGTTTTCACAAGACCATATCCTTTTTCTATGAGAGAGAGGAGCAACTAGACGCGAGAGATGCTGGGGGGACCAAGTGTACTGAGCATTTATTTCTTAGAAGTAGAATGAGCAGTCATGGTGTCATCTTTCTTCTGCCTTTGCCTTTCCTAACTTTGCAGGTAACACAGGTCCTTAAGGTTAGTTTGGTTAGCGTCAACTAGCTAGAATGGAAAAGAAACGGAAAATTTTTAAATTATTTGTAATTTGGTTAGCCTGAAAGGGAAAATTTTCAGGAAAGTAATATTTCCGCAATTAATTGATTTTCTTTAAAATGTTTCCTTTATAAAACACGCAAAACTGAAAGTTGTATCATCATGTGTTCGTTTCTAATTATACCCTCGGTAGTTATGTTTCTTCCTTTTTTAGACTCACAAAAGGAGTGATTTTTTTTTTTTTTTTTTTGATAAATTAGAACTCCTACTTATATTACAGTTTTCTAACTCTTTAAATTAGGATTCTTAATTAAGTTACAATAATTTTATGAATTTTTAAATTAGGACTATATATATATATATATGCACACACATATATTTTTATTCATAAAATGATTATTTATATTTTTTATTATACTTGTTTCATGAGGGTAATTTTGGTATGTAAATTATTTTTTTTTTTTCACTTTCTTGCTAACCAAACTAATGAAACAACATTTTTTCACAAATTTTTTACAAAAAAATCATGCTAACCAAATGCATGATAGAAACATAATTTTCTTTTCTTTTACTTTACTTTCTTTTCCTTTCACTTTCCATCATCAATTTTCGGCTAACCAAACGAAACCTTTTGTTTGGTTGGGTGGAATCAACTAGAAAAGAAAGGGAGGAGAAAATTTTTAAACTTTTTTGGAGTTTGGATAGAAGGAAAAAGAAAAGAAAGAGAAAATCTAATTTCCCGCATCGGTCTATTTGTCTCCAAAAATTTTCACGCATAAAACACCACCTTCTGCTTTTTCATTTTTTTTTCATTTGTTTCATTTCCACTCTCTATTTCAAACATAGGCACAATATAAAACTTTTCTTCACTACTCAAGTCTCCCCGTGAAGAGATTAGCAATTGACTTAAGGAATTCATGGTTTAAATCATGTTACAGTGATTCCAATTTTTTTTTAAAGGTCATGTGAGAAAATAGTATTTTCTTGTGAAAGGAGTTTATTTTATTTGACTTTTCTATTTTATCCAACTAACTTGTTTGTATTTGTTGTTGGGCAATTCTCTCTTTTGTGACTCTGTGAGTTTTCAACAACTATTTTTATGAAGCAATAATTTTTTTTTTCTTAATATAATCCACTCAAAAATAAAAGAAAAAAAATATTAGTATTTGCTTGAGCCTCTGCTGTCTAATTATGTGTAATCCAACCTTTAAAAATTAGTTTGCCTTATTTTATTATAATATTTTTATTTTTATCATCTATTGAACAACATTTATTTTTTAAATTCTAACTGATATAAAAGTAATTTTGGTAAGTAGAATTATTTTTTTTTTTTACTTTCATCCTACCCAAATTAATAAAATCATATTTTATCATAACTTTTTTTTTTTATTTTTTTTAATAGGTAAATATTTTATTATAACTTTTTCGAAAGACTTTAATACTAATCAAATTCATAGTAAAATAGATCTTACTTCTAAATAGAATTTTTTATTTTTTTTAATCATCTGTTCTATGTTGCAATTCTAGCTACTCATAACCTAGTATGGATATATATATATATCTTTTATATGGTGAACTATTTAATTTTTCTCCCAACCAGTAGTCTCTAATTTATTTTTTATTTATTTTTTAATTTGTTTATCTTAAACTAATAATTAGTTTTACCTAGAAAATATTATGAAACCCTTATTCTAAATATAAATAATAAATATAAATATAAACAATTATATATTTGAATTTAATAATTTATCATTTTAATTCATAAGGGTAGTTTTGATATGCATAATCACTTTCTTTTCATTTTCATAGTATCAAAACTAACAAACTAATATTTTTTTTACAATTTTCTTGGATAAATTTTCATACTAACCAAATGCATACTAAAAAATCCTTTTTCTTTTCATTCACTTCACTTTTCTTTCACTTTCTATTTTTTTTCTTTTTTAACTTATTTTCATCTAACCAAATGGAGCCTAAGGGATCATAAGGCTCCGGACTGGTAAAGTTCCAGAACCTAGTGCCAACCTACGTACCATTTCTGCCATGATCCTATGAAGATTTGCCTTAGATCATGCTGCTGTGCTATTTTACAGGAAGCTATTGTTTGTTCAAGTTGTTTCCGAATAATATCTAAATCCAAAGCCATTACTAATCCTATTTTCAATCTAACAGACGCAAAACCTTCGGACGTAACTAGAGAGATGAATTGTTCCTTTTTAACAATATAGGTCAAAATCACCCCACTTTGGGACTCAAAGTCAAGATCTTCAAGGGACCATTTATAAGGTTCTTTCGCACACATTGTTTGCTTTATGCTACACCAGTCATTTTTAAAATATGTCTACACAATTACGAGGCATCCTTAATAAGTGTCGTCAACTTCTCCCTCCCTCCAAGATGGTGTGGGACATCACGTTTACTATTACCTAGATGGTGTGGGATATCACGTTTATTATTACCAAATGCTTAGGCTTTGTTTGGATCCGAGTTATTTGGAGAAAAGAAAACAAATAATTCTAAAAATCATGTTTGGGTAGTTTTTAAGGAAGAGAAAAGAATAGATTTGGAGAGATTTGTCCCTTCAAATTCCTGTTATCTTTTAAAAAATGAGAAGATTTAGAGGAAAATGATAATGAGTGAGTAGTATTTTCATAATACCAAAACTATCTCCTTATAACTAAATAGTATTTTTATAATACTAAAACTACTCTCTTTTAACATTTGACTCCTATCTTATAACATTTTATAAAAAAGTTATAATAGTAATTTGGGTAAAGTGCAAAAAACCCCACTGAATTATACTCTCTCTCCCTAAAAACCCCCCATGAACTTTTTTTTTAACATTTAACCCCCTGAACTATCCAAACTTTTGCAAAACTTACCCACCGGTAAGGTTCCGTTTGGTTCCTCCGCCTAAATAGGCGCGTGATAATCACATGCCAGGGCTGTAACTTTAAAATGACAAAGCTGCCCTTATTGTATAAAACCAAAATTTTTGATACTTTCCGAAAAAAAAAAAAAAAATCCAAAATTAAAACCTAAACAAAATTAACCCCAAATCGTCGACTCTCTCTCTCTCTCTCTGTATCTTCTTCCCCTACCAGCCACTTCCACCATCCATGGACGCCACCACCGCCTCTCCCTCTCTCTAATCCAACTCCATCTCTTGAAGAAGATGAGAAAAAAAAATTAAGACAAACAACAACCCCCTCTCTCTGTTTTCTAACCCTAGGAATTCAACTTTTCCTGCAAAATCAAAGAGTTTGCAACAATCAACACCCCCCTCTCTCTCTTTTCTAGACCTTGGAACCCAACTTTTCTACAAAATCAATGCAAAAGAAGAAAACACACAAAAACACACATCTCAACCCTCTGCAATCCAGTCTGGTTGGGTCTCAGCAGGTAGGTCAAAATCCACAAGCACCAGACAAGGCGATGCCGACGACGAACAACGAAGGCGACGACGGCGATCCAATTGGGTTTCAATCTGAACATCAATTCGACGACGAGACCATGTTCTCGATTTGGGTTCGCTGAAACAAGCAATTGGGTCTAATTTGAACCATCAATTCTGCGACGAGTGAAAGGGGGGTGTGTCGCCGGCTGAGTTACGGTTCCGATGAGGAGTGTAAGGGTATCGATGGAGAGGAGTGGTGAGGGTTTTGTTTGGATTTCAATCCCTCTGTTTCATATTCAACTATTTCTCCCGAAAATGTTTCCTCTGGATATCTTCAATTCTCTGGACAGGCACACACACACACACACATATATATATACACACACACACACATAGAGGGAGGGAAGGAGAGAGCTGTTCTTTATGCTGCCTTAGTTGGAGCGGCGAAATCTTGCGGCTAGGATTGATGAAGAAGATAAACAGTGTAATGATAAGGCTGTGTTTGGGTAATTAGGTGTAACAGTAAACTAAGGTTATGTTTGGAGTGTGATTTGGGGATAAACCATCAAAACTGCATCGTTCCACTAAAGGATAATTTTGTAATTTTCTTTTTCTGGTGACGGAAATTTGCCTACTGTCCTTAAATGCAACTTTTTAATAGTTCAGGGGAGTATTGGTTAATTCAAGGGGGTTTTGTGCAATTGGCTAATAGTTCAGGGGAGTTTTTTGCACTTTATCCTAGTAATTTAATTCTTAAAGTTTTTTTTCTTTAATTTTTCAAACAAGAATGTTATTATTATTAACTTATTTTTCTCTCGTATTTATCTAAACGAAGCCTTGAAAAAAAGTACAAATTTTCAGATGCAACATAAAGCTTGACAAGTGGAACAACCTAACGCACCATTGAAACATATAGTTTTATAATGTATAAATAAAGAATCATTATCATGAGGTGTAAAATAATGAAACGTGACATAAATTTGTGAAATGCTGCAGTTCACATAAATTTCATAAATAAACGATAGAATACAGTACCACTCGTATCAATTTCATATTCATACTCAGCTAAAAAAAAAAAAAAAACCATCAAATAAACCTCCTCCTGGTGTTGCTAATTCCTCTCCGTAACAATAATATGACTTCATCTGTTTCCCAAAGAATAGAAGAATTACACTAATACAGCATTACAGAAGCCCAAAATAGAATTAAGCTTGACAAGCCAGTGCTCGCAATCCTGCTCACGTCGTTTCCCGGTACTCCTGAAAAAAAAATTATCCCATTTTAACGAAGAGAAGTGCGACACTGTCAAACGCTAATGCTAAAAAATTTGAAGCCATGTCTCCAACCATGCCATCATCGTGATTCAACGGTCATTTCTTTGACTTATAATATTGTCCCTATCAAGACTCGGGCACTCAACTTTCCCTCCGGGTAGGAGAGTCAAATTCAACAATATAGTAAGAATAGTTTTATTGCTTCCATGGTCATTGACAAAGCCAAATGTTTGATATACCATGGAAACATACAAAACAGCTGTTGCATTCATCGGGTGAAACAAATGTCTATATATATATATATATATATATACACACACACACAATCCTGAAGCATGTGTGATTTGTTGAAAGGATCTCTAAAATCTTATTATTTAAGTATAGGAATAGTATTAGATTATTTTCATAGACCAAAGTAAGTCAAAACTTAAATTCAACAATTATTAAGGTTTAAAAAGTAAAAAGTCATTTGATATGATTTTAATGTCAAAATTGGAGGCTCCGGAGTACAACTGCTAGCGTCAACCTAGGTCAATTTTTTTACATTTCTAATGTTTTTTTTTTTTTTTTTTTTTTTTTTTTTTTTCGGAAGGTAACATTTCTAATGTTCCTCGTCAATGGCACATAAACAAACAAAATGTTTGGTCCATCAACGCACCAAAACATCAGAACTTGCCATTCACAAAAGACAGATCCCTAATTTGATAATTCAATTCAGTATTTAATTTTAAATAAATTAAATATTTATTTAATTAAATACATTTAATAATGTAATATCACTTTAAAAAAATAAAATTGCTATTACAAATTATTTATTTATTTATTTATTTTTTCTCTTTCCTAGTTAGACTTACACACACGTCTCTTTTAATACTTGAACTTTTGACCTCCTTTTGAGAAACCTTTGAGAAACCGGCCACTGACATTGACCCGTTGGTAATTATTTAAAATTTTAGCAAATAAAGCTACATTTATCACCGAATGAGCAACACTTAAAATTCAAAAAATTATAAAAATTTCTCAATTTAAATATACCACTTAAAACTTCAGTTTTTTAAATTCAAAATTCTTAATATTTTCAGTTCTACCAAAAAGCAGCTCAGAAACAGATTGACATAGCAAATATATGTCATGCATAGATATACTTCTAGGATTATAAATATGAAGAAAGAGTGATTACCTGGAGGAGGCTCTGTTGAGGCTGTTGGGGCTGTAGCTGCAGAAGAAAAATGAAATTTTAAAAAATTATTAGCTAACACCTAATTGAGAAAACACACACACAAAACAGAGGGACTTTAATGTGAGTTTGACATCTGTTGAATAACTGAAAATTAGAAATATATTAAAATTTCATTGGACAGATTTTTACATCTGTTTAATTATAGAGAGAGAGAGAGAAAAAAAAAAAAAAAACCATTTAAAAAATAATAATAATATATATGTGTGTGTCTGTGTGTGTTAAAATCAATTTTGGAATTTTGTTTTTTCTTCAAGTCACTAAAAAAAAAATAAAAATTGGTCAGGGTAAGAAGTAGCAAATTAGCAATCAGTGATTAGGAAACACTAGTCCGAGCTGACTGAGTCAGGATCCAACCAGCAGATTCCCGGGCCAATTCACTGAGTTCACCCAATATTTAAAAAACAAAACATAAAACACCCACTAGTTTATATGTATATGTATATGTATATGTGTTTACCATTGCTGCAGGCGCTAAGATCACCGGAGACACCGCAGTGGCCGGGAAGAGCAAGCGCATCAGTGATGTTGATGCCGAGGTAGGTCAACAAGCCAGGGGTGTTGTAGAGAGTGCAGAGACAAGAGAGCTCATTTGTCACTGCCTCTTTCAGTGGGTCACAGCACGAAGCCGGTGGGTTCGTTGAGTTCATGTAATCCGCACACGGCACCAGCTTCTGCGCGCACGACGGCGTTGATTGGCCCTCCGCAAACCCAATCACCGCCACTACCACCACCACCATCATCAAGGCGGACATCTTCAAAAAACCCATTGCTCACTTTCTCTCTCTAAAGTGTTTCGCTCTCTCTCTCTCTAAAATTTTCTGTCGCTGGTGGTGGCAAGTATTTGCTTCCGTCTTTGCTTTCTTTCGTGCCCAATATATATCAGCTCTCATTGTGTCGCTGTTTTACGTGTCCACGGACTCCACGCGACAGAGTCCAGCGTTCTATTCACGCTCCTCTAACAATAAGACAACTAATCTTTGGTTGTAGTCGAAAAATATCTTCATATTAATGGGCCTTTTCCGAAATGAGTACATTTACTTCTCCACACACAATTAATGCATTTTCTTATTTAAAAGCTATCAAGTTATTTTTACAATTTGAACATATATATATATATATATAATATAATTATTCATTCAAGTTGACAAAGAATATTTATGAAAAAATTGCATTTATCTAACACTTTTCAAATAAGATAAGTATTTTGAAATAAAAAGAAAAAGAAAAAAGAAAAGAATAATTAAATTGAAATACAAGAGTAAATGTTAGGGGTTACAACTTCTAAATACTCATTATTTTTTTGAATAAATTTTGAAACAAAAAGAAAAAGAAAAAAAAAGAATAATTAAATTGGAAGAGAAGTAAATGTTAGGGGTTACGACTCATAAACACTCATTATTTTTTTGGATAAATTTAAAATATTATTATTAAAAGCAATGAGTAAATTTGAAAGAAATGGGGTGTGAATATATTTTTCGTAATATATTATGTAATTTTCATAATATTCAAAGCTCAACTAAACTAGTAAATGAGTTGTATATTTTTGGACACACACACATATATCTACACTGTGTGTGCTCAAGTGTTCAAAAAGAAATAATGGACGGAGTTGAATTTGGGAAGATGAGTTCAGACGTGCTCGCAAGGGCTTTGCCAACACCCAACGTCAATCTGCCAACTGTATTCACACATATTAAATAGTATTAATTAATTCTACCGATTATATGAGTGTCCTTATCTCAACTAACTATATGAAATAAAATAATATAAAATAAGGAAAATGATAAGGGGGCAAAGAGTAACCCCGAAAAAACGATCGAATCTAACGTGACTTGGTACGTAAGATTCTCTAAAATTTTTTGCGCGTGAAGAGTAAAAGAGCCATCACGTACTTTGCTCACCCCTAAAATAAATTGAAAAAAAAAAATTTTTGTTTGAGAAATGTAGCGATAAACACTATGAAGATGACCGGAAGAAGGTGAGTATATACAAATAAAAATATATATATACACACAATTACATATATGTTAGTAATAAATCATAAATATTCAAAGATTTTTTTCTACAAATTTCTCAATAGATTTAGGTATTAGTCTATGATCTGATTTTAAGAATTACATGATCATCTTGTATTCGAATCACGTACAAAAATTTGAGAGTATTCACAACATCACTATTTGATTCAACATCACTATTTGATTCGGGATTGACTATTTTTCTCTATCTAAGGTTTTGAATAAGTTTTCTTCTTCAATAGTAATTCAATCGGTATAGTGATTTAATTTGATATATTCAGTGTAAATTCTAAAATATATCAATTAAGAATACCGGAAAGTTCAGAAGTCTCAAAAATTAGAGAAAACTTATCTCTATTTTTTTTTTTTTTTTTTTTTTACCTGCACGGGATGGACTCTTTTGCTCCCTCACGCAAAAAAGATAAGAAGCTGACGTGGTCTGGCCACGTCAGGTTCAGTGATTAATTCGGGAATACCTTTCGTTCCCTATCACTGCTCATAAAATAAACACCAACTAATTAACATGTTCCAATTATATATATGGGTTTTGGTCAAACTTTGATCAATGAGGACACAACACTATTATGTCAACTAATCCCATTGGTTAAAAAAAACTAATCCCATAAAACAAAAACAATATATATATATGCCAACATGATACCAGAAAGACATTCGAAAGTTACAGGCAAGCGTGGATTATTTACTAGTTTTATTTATTTATTTATTTTAATTATTTTTTATATAATATTTAGAAAAATAATAAACTGACCAAAACAATGAACCAAAATAAAAATTGAACAATTCGGATTTTCTGATGTGGTATTGGTTTTGTAGTTTCATTTCTCAAACGCATCTAATTTTATTTTCAACATATTGTTTCGGGTTTTAACTGCGTCAAAAATATATTGATATTAAATAAAACACTATAGCACGTTATAATAGAAATTCTTTATAGTAGAGGATTTGGACGGAACCCTTTACATGAATTCTACTTAAATGCAATAAACATTTATCGAGTCATAATGTATAAACAGGAGTGGATAAATTTTTTTAGAACTACGACTGCATTTTGGACACACATACAATCATTTTCTTCTGGATAAATTTAATGATGCAATGCTTGGAAGTCATAATTAAGGAACAAGTCATAATGTATGAACAGGAGTGGGTCGTAGTTGTTGAATATGCATATATATATATATATATACATACACACACACAAATATGGCTTACGAAGCATGAAAATGATGAAAGTTAGGCTGCAACCGTTCAGCTGCATCTCAAGTCAAATTTTGTTTGGGCAGAATAGTAAAATAACACTGCCATATTTGGCAGACAGGGGGGTTCGAATCCGAATATTCCTGTGCCATTCGTTTGTGTTATTTAGATTATTTATGTAATAATTCACTTCGTTTATATAATAATTTTATATCACTTATATAATAATTATATGATATTTTGCTTATGCAATATATATATATATATATATAGTAATTTAATTAAGAACTAAGTATTCACTTTTTACTAGTAGTTTATTTGACCTATTCTATTTTTTTGATTTGAATATTTGAAGTATTTAGGAAAGACTCAAAATAAGTAAGAATAGAAAATTCTAAAATTCTCTTTAAGTTAGTGCATACCTTTATTTTTTTTATGGACTCCTTTCAAAAAAGGGCAAGATCTAACGAATCGGAAACAATTGATTATTTTTTATTTTTTATGAAACATACATATCAATATGTTCGGATCATACCTTTGATTTCACTTTCAATTCCTACGTTGTTAATAGGAGTGGAGTGGACTATATTCTCAAATCTCAATCGTTATCAATGGAAATATCTTTTGGTCTTGATGCACCACCACATGACTTTTGGGTCAACAATCCAAGCTCCGACCAAGACTATATGTGATTGCGTGTTTACTTCACCTTCTTTTCTTTTTTTTTTTTTTTTTTTTTCATAATATATATATATATACCGTTTCATTATTGTGTGTAATAGGTGACCTCATTTTATTGATTTTGTAATTTCACGCGGTTTTGTTGGAAGTGTCTCTAGTTGGATATCACCTTCCTAAAAATCCTTTATTAATGTGCTGGCTTGCCATGTGATTCATATACTATAATTTATGTGCAATCGGTTGGTTATACTTTCAAACGCTATTTAATGTTTCAAATATCGCAAAATCAACAAATTAAACAATATTTTATTTTATACTATTATTCTTTAATACCCATAATTTAAGTTTTTCTCATTCTATACATAAAAAAAAAAAAAGAAAAAGAAAAGAAAAAAGGTATTTTAAAAGTATTTTTGTAATAAATTCGTCGTTAAATTAAGACGTTGTGATGGTGCCTCTGATCAAATAATTGATGACACAAACTCACAGTGATTGAGAGCAACCTTATAATATCTGGTCTAAGAAGAAAACAATATAAAGTAATTAAAATTTAGGACGAAGACCATAGAGAATGATTTAATACCAAAGTAATACTTATGATAATTCATAATTATGACTATGCCTTTGGATGATGTGTGTGAACATGGGCTAGGTCTAAAGAATTCATTTATATATATATATATATATAATAAAGAAGGCAATTAAAGACTTTGACTTGTATCTTTCATTGTTTTTTATTTATTTAATTTGGTATGAAAAAGACACATACAAACCTGTCACATCATTAGAATGGAAAAGAGTTTGGAAAATTAAGTCATTTGTTCACACTCGACACACCAATTAAGCAAACCTTTCATGCCGTGCAAGTTTCAAATTACGCCCAAATTGAAGACTCGGTCTACTTATTGGCTGTAATTGGCTTTTTCTATCATCCCAAAACTCATTTTAGTTATTGGCTGTAATTGGCTTTTTCTATCATCCCAAAACTCATTTTAGTTTTGTTTGGTTATACAAAAAATATATATTTTTTGTCAACAGTTGGATTTTTCGCTACTAATGTTGTATTTGATGTGCATGAATGAAATGTAATGAAATACTCATTTCAATCATTCATTTGTTTGGTATGCAATTTAAAGTAAAAATGGTCATCCCATTAAAATGAAAATCCATTCCACAATTAAACCAATAGAATGATCATTCCATTTACAAGTAATTTTTTAAAAAATATCAACTTCTCAAAAAATTCTTATGTTCCAACTCCAAAAACAATCATCACCTTCAACTACAAACACCTAGGGGTGTTAAAAAAATCCGATAAACCGAAAAATGGGACCGGATCAACCGGAGTGAACCGGACAGTTTGGGCTAGTTGTATAGTAGTTTGGTCCGGTCCTGAGCCCAAAATTATGGAACCGTAATTTTTCGGTTCGGTCCTAGTTTAGGGTCCTGCTGGATCGGGCCGGCCCGGGTTGAACTGTTATTATGTGATATAATATATATTATATAACTTATATTATATATATATAATATATATAAATGTATATCACTATATCATACCCTAAACCTAAATCAAGTAAAGTTTCCACGCCTCACATACTTTTTCTGTCTTAGAATCGTAGTGATGTAAAGTAAAGTTCCCACGATTCAATTGCTGCCATGAAACCATAAATCCCTTTAACATTCTCACGAATTCCTCCAAATCCTTCAAACCCTTTGTCATCCATCACCACAAACCCATTGTCGTCCATCACCACAAACCCTTCTCTTGAATAGTTTACTGAATTATGTCTAAATTGTTGTTGACATGTTGTATTTTTTTTACTGTTGGCTAACTTAGTCTATTGGATTTACTAAATCTATTTGTTGTTTTACAAGTTCAGTCCATATTGTCGGTTCCTGTTGATGTATTATATTCAGGAAAAAATAAGAAATTTTATTTTTAAAAAATAAAATAATAAGGAAATCAACTAAAACCGACAAACCGAACTGAACCAAACCCATTTTTCGCGATTTGGTTTGATTCTATGAATATTATGGTTCGGTCTGGTTTCAAAAATAGTGGAACCATTATAAATAGTTTGGTCCCAAAAAACTCCCAATCAGATCCAAACCGGACCGTATGCACCCCTACAACCAACTCCACCTTTCACCACCACCACCACCATTACCACTGTCTTCCACCACCACAGACTTTCACTATCGCTCACTGCTTTCCACCACCACCACCGACATCGCCTTTCACCACTGACATTGTTTCCTTTGCCGCAACCACCACCACCGCTACAGCCACCACCTTCCACTACCGCCGCCTTTCACTATAGCCATCACTTTCCACCAACACCGCCACCTCCTTTCACAACCACCTTCCACCATCGCCACTGCCTTACACCGCTACCACCACCGCCTTCCACCATCACCATCGTTGCCGCTGCCACCACCTTCCACTGCCTTCCACCGTCACCACAATCACCTCCATATATTGGCTTCCACCACTGCCACTTACACAACTTTCTCCTTCCATCACCACCACCACACTACTGCCATCACCTTCCACCAACACCACTGCTGCCTTCCACCACCACCGTCGCCGCTGCTTTCCACCATTGCCACCACCATCGCTTTCCAACACCACCACCTACACCATTATCGCTTTCCACCTCCACCACCATTGTCACCACCGCCACTGCCACCATTTATTTTTAAAAAATTATTAGATAATGTCATTTTGTTAATTTTATTTATTTGTTACTATGAGGGTTATTTTGGAGAATTCAATTTGAAATTTATTTAATTCTAAATTTTAAATTGGTCCAACCAAACACTAGAATGGTTATTATTATATCATTCTTATACATTTCATATTTACAACCAAATAATAAAATAAAAATGAGCATTCCATTCATCTATTTCCGCTTGCATTTCATTATATTCCTACACACCAAAAGTACTTGAAATACTAGTGTAATTCAAAATGGTATTGGACCTTTTCAATGTATAGATTTATATGAAAAATGCTTCATTAACTATAAGTCATAGTTATGCCAAAAAGTACTCATATTGACCTAAAGGAGAGAATCGATATTCGCATTATACAAAAACAAAGAAACAAAAAAAAGAAAAAGAAACTCACATTTTTATAATATGTTATGATAATATATACCTTATAAATAGAATTTTATTTTATTTTACTTTTTTGTGTATCCTAAACTAGAAAAATAAACGAGTACAAAAGGGGTGGCTATATAATAATAAATAAAAAAAATTCACTATTGATCGGGTACCGCTCGGGCTTTACCAACTAAGTATCTGGATAATGTCCAAGTATCAAATACTTTCTCATCTAACATACAAAAGTAATAATAATAATAATAATAAATAAATAAATAAATAAATAAATAAATAAATCACACAAACACGCATGCAATTCACTTTCATATAGCACAAGCAATCACCTTAAATTTTTTACTGGTGGAGTGTTGGCCTAAGTAATGTTGTATTCTTCTGATGTTTAGCAAAATTGTTACCAATAATATTATGAAGCTTACCAACTAAAGTTGGGATTGAATTTCCTGTGAAACAATGTAATCAAAAGGTTGCATATGGGCTGGCCTTGTCCAATAGAAATTTCAGTTAACTTAAACACAACGTAACCATATTGAACACCAAAAAACAATCTACTGCATCAATGAATATTACCCTGATGTTAAGGTCTCTTTTCCTAAGTCATACAAAGTGGGTGCAAAAGTAAAAGTAAATGAAAAAAGGGTAGTATGAACTATGAAAGTGGCAAAAGTTAAGTTACACAAAGTGGAATTAGGGAAAAGAGTGTGCGCGGCGAGAACGACACTCGTTTAAAAGAATGATGTGACTTAGGAGAATTATTAAATGGTCATAATCTATTGACACAGACACTTGGTAATTTCACGTGACTTAGCTCTATTCCTTAAAAAAAGAAAAAAAGTTTGAACAATGTTTTGTTAGCGGCAATATTATACCTTACTTAAGTTATTTTCTTTCACATTAAAAAAAAAAAAGAAAAGAAAAAAAAACAAATGGCACGCACACATTTTACTTGACCTAAAACTTAAATCTTTAACCTGCACCTCAATAAAATTTGTTTTGTGAGTGGTTGCACATATTCACGATTCGCAAATCACTGAACTACAGGGTGAAAAAAAAAAAAACGGAATTTATATATATATATATATAAATATATTTTGATAACGGATTGGGGAGAAGAGTCATCAGTCATCGGACTCTCCTTCTTGACCAGCCCCTTATGGGCTTAGCCCTTTTCACAGCCCATTTGGGCATGGTAGTTTTTTGAGTTGGGCCTAGACTGAATAAAAAGAAGCCTTGGACAAAACGGCACCGTAATATTCGTACATTCCAACGGATAACAAACACTATAGAAGCACCAAGAACCAGTAGAAGTTGAGAGCTCAGAAAAGGTCATCCATGGCCTCCTCTCTCGGCATCTTCAATTCCACCGCTAGCGCTCTTTTCCGTACTACGAAATTCACACAACCAAGTCGTTTGAGGACCAAAATTTGCTGTGTAGGATGGGTATATCTATATCTATATCTATATATTTATATCTCACTCTTCTTACTGTACCATTTCTGAAATGTTCATTCATGGTATTGAGCTCAAAAGATTTTCATTAAATCTTATACATTGTATGAAGGAAGGATCCAGAAGGCATACTTGGTCCTCCCCAAACAGGCCACCTCGCCAGACGCGAGTTCCAGAGGCGGCTTGAAAGCGACGCCGAGGCCAGAGAAGCTTTCGAGCGCCAAGTCCGCGAAGAGAAAGAGCGTCGCCAATCTCTTCGACAAGTAATTTCACATCTGGGTTTTGAATTTTGATGAATTGGGTCTTCTATTCATAAATTATATGCTTAAATACACATACATGTATATATGTTGTGTTTGTCTCTGTTATTTGCTTGTGTTCTCCTTGTAGTCTCGGGTTGTTCCAGATACTCCGGCGGAGTTGATCGAGTACTTTCTTGATACTGAGGCTCGGGAAATTGAGTTTGAGATCGCTAGGATGAGGCCTCAGTAAGTTTTGGTGATTGTTAATGCCTGTTTTCATTTAGAGAATGTAATTGTCACGTTTGCATATTATGTGCTTGAAATATTGTTTCTTTCAAGTTGTGATTGGATTTTATTTACTTTATTTCATTCATGTATATTAAAAATAAAAAAAAATTGTTCATTTGAGTGTGAATCTCATTTGTGGCGTAGACTGTTTATCGGTTCTGAATCATAGCAATGGAAATGTAAGTGAGCCCCCTTTGGAAATTAGCTGATTTTGGTTGCTTATGATCACACCAATAACTTTTCGGGAGGTACAGTTAGAATATAGCCAACATGAGTTATACATGCACTTAATTTAATTTATGAACATGTCATTTGATTCCAAGAGTAGCTGCTTTGAATTTCCAGTCAATTCCTCTCACCACCCTGCATACTGGGTAATGGTCTTTAGCTTCTGCACTAACCAAGCTCTGGTCTATGACATGAATCATATGGGATTATCTACTTGAATTTTATTTTCCATGCCATTCCATCTTGCTCCATCTTGGGCTACACGTTGAGTTAAATCAAACATCATTATGTTTCTCTTCACCATCTTAACTCGTGTCCTCTTTTGTCCCCCTCTCATTCTTGATACACCTTTCATCCGGATGGCTAAATAGTGTCAAGCGTAATTGCTCATTTCTGTAACTCTTCGGTTTTGTTTCACATAGACAAACCACCTTAATCAATTTTACCCCTTCTTGTTTCATGTCTACGATGAAATAAAGGAAAGTTGAGTTTTCTCAAACTGATCGCATCATGTGATATATGTACAAACTATTAAAACTACATTTTTATGGCAATGTGCTTAAGATATCTACAAATTTGAAGCCTCAGTTTTCTTATTTAAGTTGAGATTGGCTATTGAAGGATATAATTCTTCATGGATTGTGCAAGCAGTCTAATGAGCTGGTTGGATTCAACATAAATAATGTACGATTATTCCAGGAAAGACATGTAAACCATCTTGATGGATTCTGCTATAAAAGATTATCATCCATCACGCCTCGTTAGGATCAGATGGGGTTTTAATTGGACTGCAGACATTGCTCATGAATTGGGAAGTTAGTAAAGTTGCTAGTTGCTCTGATTAGTTGAGCCCAATATCTCTTTCGTGTGTGTTCACTTCAAAAGAAATTTTACTTTATGTTTTACTAGCCAAGATATTAATACATTTCATTTTTCTGTCACCAAGCTTTCTTCAAAAATTATTGAAAATTTCTGCTAACTAAATGTTATCCAGATTTTTGTTCTGATGAAATTATTTATGTTAATATTGATGAAGAGATTTCCTACTTGGCACCTGCAGCCCTTTATAAAGTAGGGATTGCTAGTTATAAGTTCTCAAATGGCTTTGTGTTCCTAAATGCCCGTTTCTTCTTCTTTTTTTTTTTTTTTGTTTCCAATTGACAGAATGATTGCTTTCCATAATTTGCTTCCCCTAAAAAAACAAACAATGAAAAGTAAAAGAGAGAGAAAGAATAACTCTTAAAATGTAATTGTTAGTTTGTGATAGAAAGAACACTTGCTCCTTAGCGCCTTTTCTTTTCATTTTGAACATCAACATTTTCTGGAGAAAAAGTTCAAATTTTCAAAGCACAGCACCTTATTATTTAATAATTAAATAAAAAAAATTAACAATAACAACAAAGTCCCGTATTTGTACAAGAGAGCTGTTTTCAGTATATACTTCACAACTTTTTGTGCACATTCCTAATGAATAGAAAAAGACTTTCATATCCAAACCTCAATTTTGCTTACAGAAAGATTGTAACATATACGATTTGCAGATTGAACCAGGAATTTTTCGCACACCTACAATTTGAACTAGGACAACTTCGGTTTGCTGTTTCAAAAACTCAGGTTCAAAATTGACCTATATATTTGAATCAAATCCTTCTTAGACAAGCGAACACAACCACAATATAGAAATGCTGATGGCTTTTGTAGGATATGGAGGACAGATTGATTGAGCTGGAAGCACTGCAGAAGGCTTTGCAGGAGGGAACAGGTTGGTTGACCAACACGCAGATTGGTGCTAAAGGATTTGCATCCTCACTTGTTTTCCATAAACACTCAATATATGTACTCCATTTTCTTCTACAGAGGCCTATGATAAAATGCAGACTGATCTCGTAAAGGCAAAGGAGAGCCTAACCAAATTATTAACGTCAAAAGATGTAAAAGCAACTGTATGTTCTACCTTTTATACTCTCATTATCTTTGCTGATTATGTGTTGCTCCTCAACAAAAGTCATTCTATCTTATTATGCAGTTATTGGAGATGGTTGAGCGGAATGAGCTCAATAGGTCCTTATTAACGATTCTTGACGAAAACATAGCAAATGCACACAAGGGTGACCAGGTGAGAGATGCTGGGAATATTTTTTAACTTGCCAATGTAAAATTTCTCATGTTTTCTTTTTCATTTGCATAATGCATATATAGCATACTGATGTTGTACTAGGTATAAACACATCATTTGGAACCAATTCAACATAAAAGTTGATTTCCCTATTTCAAAAATATGTAAATTTAATTTGAAAACTAGGATTTCATAACTTTCATCTTGGTGTAAAGTCGGTGGGCATAAAATATATGTTGTCTATGATATTTGGTGTGTCGCCGCACCACGAGCTTAAGAGTGCATTAAGGCGAGGGCCAAGAGTTTTACATTTATAGAAGCTACTATTACCTTTCACTATAAATATAGCTAGGCGAGTAGGGATCGTCCCAAGGGATTTGTGAGGATCGAGCAATGTCGTGGAGTCGTTATTAGGGCTAGTAGGTCGAGTGATCAAACAATTGGTTGGTTGGTTGATTAAAAAACAACTAAATTAAACTAAGTGATAGCAAAAAAATGCAATTAAGAGTAAGTAAGAGAGAGAGATCTTGGGATTTAGAGATCACCACCAAGCAATGCATTTCTATATCATTGACAAGTGATTAATGAGGGCAAATGGTGTGTTGCAATATTGGTGTGTGTGTGTGTTTTGTTAATTCAACAAGCAAGGATGACTAGTTAAGCATGTATTGTCTAAACATCATGTGAAAGGCACAATATATCTAAGCAATGAAGCATATATTGTCTAAACAACATGTGAAAGGCACAATAGATCAAAACAAGTCACTAATCCTTTCATTAAGCTCACAATCCAAATACAATACAAGGATAGAGACATATGCTACTTGCATTTAAAAGCTTGGATCATCAAATAACAAGCATGGATTGTCCTCCCATTTAACACTACACTATAACTACACTACATCTACACTACTAGCATGAAAATAAACTAGGGGAGAGGCACAATCCATCAAGGAATAAGTATGAACCATCAAGAGAATCACAAGAGTATTCCTTTAAGCACTATGTTTTGACAATCTCCAAATCTATAGCATCAATACACATAGACATGCATCAATAACACAAAATCTAGAGACAAGCACATGAACATCTATTCTAGCATACATAGACATATGGATAGAATGAAATGATCAATTGGAAGGATTAAACTACATAAATCATTGAATAAACAAGATCTAAATATATCAAAGTGTCAAAACATTAATTTCAACACTAATCCCTCAATAATACACAAGATTAAGATATAGAAAGCATGTCTAGCCACTCATGGTGATGTTGCTCCAACCCTCAAGGGCTAACTCCATGGAAGAGGCTTGCTCTTTGGTTGATGAAGAGTCTCCAATGGTGTCTCTAGCTTCCTCCTCCTCTCAACTTACTCTCCAAGAGATGATATGAAAACAATATTGGCTCCCTTTGTAAAAAGTAATCCTTATCCCTATATAGGTAGGTCAAAATGACACCCAAAATGAGCTGGGGTTGTGCACACAATATTCCCTAATGATTGGATAAAGGACAACTTTCAATGAGATGGAAATTTAACTTTTTCGCACTGGAGGAAGTTCGATCGATCGAACCTTGGTCTTGGATCGATCGAACTGGCTGAGATCCATCGAACTTAGGCTGGATCGATCCAACTGGCTGAGCTTTTTGGAAAAAGACAAATCCGAGATATTTTGGGAGATATTTATGGGAAAAGGACAAAAGTGGTTAGTGGGAGGTACAACTGTGGATAGGATCAATCATTTGAATAAGGACAAAAGTGTTCGATCGATCGAAGGGTGGTGTTGGATCGATCGAACTTTTGGACTTTATGCTTTTGGGTCTAGGTTTGGATCTATCTTGAAGTGCTGAGATCGATCATTGTTCGATCGATCGAACCTTAAACTTGGATCGATCGAACTTTGCTGCTTGTCACCTTTGGCTTCATTTGCTTCCTTCTTTCTCCACTTTGCTCCTTTCTTTGTTTAATCCCAGAATTGCTTCAATTAATCTCTTATTTGGCTGAGTTAGCTTATTTTCGGGATAAGTGCCTGAAAATGGAAATAATACAAAATCAATCTAAAATAATAAAGTAAGATAGATAAAGGTGCTAGAATGCCTAAGTTTAAGGGGTTTAAATACGCACTTTTCAGCGCTCATCAATATTAAACATATCATTAAATGATATTTCTAATTTTATGTTATTAAATTTTTTTTGGCTACTCACAATTGTAGAAATTTAATATTTATTATAAAATATAAATTTAGTGTCTCACAATTGTTAATTGTTAAAGAGTGGAACTATGCTGACAGAGTTGTGATGCTTTCTCTCTAAAAGATGGCTACTTATTTAGGCGGTATTATCTATGTTTTTCTTTTATCCTTTACCATGTACATGGAGATTATATGGTAGAACTTGTTTTATATGGAAATTATGGAGAGGGCAGGTCTTGGCGCAACTGTAAGGTTACTCCATTGTGGGCTAGAGGTCACGGGTTCGAAACAAAAAAATATCCTCTCTGAAAGCAGAGGTAAATCTTGTTGAGTTGCGTGGTGTGGAGGTGGCTGTGGAAAGTTTTAATCTTAGATGAAAGACCTAGACGGGGGTGAATAGGTCAAACTTGCTCTTTTGATTGACTTTCAAATTATCTTAATTTTACCCAATTAAAATAAAAAAACCAATCACAAAAAGCCATAAAGTAGAGTGAGAGATAACACCAGGAATCTTTGGTGGAAACCCAAAGGAAAAAGCATGGAGACTTGCCATCTCACAATCCACTATGATGAGAAAGAGTACAACGAGTTTCAGTGCCTTCTGTTGAAGGATTTAAATATTAAAGTTACACCCTCTCTAACAACTTAAGCTTTTAGAGTAGATGGTTGTTAACACCTTCGAAATTGCTTCCCACATGAGTTTATGATCCCAGTGCCTTTGGAATCACCAGCAACACCAATGCACGCCAACACAATCACCTCACGATGACCCGCTTCTTCAAGTGATTGAACTCGCCTTACTCACAATCACAAAGATGAAAGGAAACCAAAGTCCTAGATCTATTAGGATAATTAGTAGGAAGCTCTGTATGTCATCGATCAGATAGAGAGCATAACCCTATATCACTCTGGTGAATAAGTGTGTGCTCTCAAATAAAGAAAAATGGTCAGAAAAATCAAGGTTGATTTTTCTCCTAGAAGCTCTAATGGTGAAAAATAAAATATCTCTTGTGTGTGTATAGAGTGTATATTGAGCTGTAGAACAAAGGAAAAAGGTGTTTTGAAATCTCATTGGACGTCTCTAAAAGTTTGGTATAAAAAAGATTCAAAATATGATCCAAAACATAGAGTCGCACAAATATCAGGACAAGTCCAATGAGATTTCAAAATCTCATTATTAGAGGGTCTGAACGAATGAAATGCTTTAGGAAAGTTCCAAGTAAATTAGGAGTATGTTCCTACTTGTTTTAATTTGCATGACAGGATCATGCTTAAGAGCATGCCACCAACATAAATCCTATAGACTATATCTTCATTCTTCATACATAAAGTTTACATTATCACCTCACTCCCCATTTGACGCTTTAATGTGCTTTAAAATGTGCTCTGAAATGGTCCTCTGTAGCACACACTAAATGGTAAATCTCTATAGGATCTACTAATTGCACTCCTATCATGACTAGGAAAACTCATAATTTGGGACATAACTGTATGTAGAGTTCTACTTTTAATTTTTTTTCATGGAAAGTCTGCTAAGACTAATCTATCATCAACTTGTGGTTACGTCTAAACCAAACAGAACTAATTTTGATTTCCTATGTGTGCAGAAACTAGCAGCTGCATTCATGGAAAAGCTTCGTGGAGCTATGCTAAAGTACATGACAGTTTAGTGTTTAAATGGTAATTATATGTACCCTTTCCTTCTTTATGACGAGTTCTTGATGAGTTGTAGACTACTAGTTTTGAACTGGTCACTCTACTACCCAACATCAGACAACTCATACATGTATGATGATCTTAATTCAGTGAATGGACTATTGTATTCGGACATAATCCAAAAATAAGAGCACCTTCAACGGAGGTTTTACATTGATGATAGTAAAAAGTGATACTACCATTCACCAAATTTAGCAGTGATGATTCTACATGCAATAAACTGGTTCTGGATACTTTAGGGAAGTTTTGCGATGTAAAACATTATGGAGTTGTTTAATTTCCATTGTGCATCCAAACAAATTTATCTTTTTGATTGAATTAGAGTTGCAGAAGCTTTGATCTACATGAGGAGAATTTGAAATTAAATTAGTCGAAAACAAGAGGGAAGAGTAATATTTCTTCATTCTGATTTTCATCCTTCTAGCAATGAACTTCCTTATGTGCTAAATAACTAAGGAATTCAGATCCTGTCAAAGCATCAGTAATGAAAGGATAGTTTTTAGTAGAAATTTGTACTTATTTGAGTTCATATCAGTAAATAGATAGCAATGAACTTATGGACAACTAGGTTGAATTGTCTCAAAGAGTTCTTTTTACGGGACTGTTCTGTTGACAGGGTATTTAGGCTCTGGAAATACCAAAGCCACAATACTAATTCAGATTTTGGAGTGAAAACCATTTGTGCCAGCCCGAGTCTTGGAGGGAAAATGAAAAGTGCTTGTGAGAGATATTACCATTGGCCTATGTTGAGGATGCTCACCACACTGAGGTGTGAAAACTAGACTGTGTTGCAACTTGCAAGGATGAAATGAAAGGGATAGTCTGGCCAGTGTTGGTGGATGTGAACCAATCTTATTTCTCAACTTACACAGTACATCTTTACACTTATCAGGTTCCAAAATAATCTTATGATGATCAAAAATTGAATCAAGGGGGGAAATATATATGTTATATGGATGCATAATTACATGAGCTGGGGTGTGAGTACTAGGTTGTCCGTCCTAAAAACTGCAATTAGTTTGGGCCAGTCTAACAGTTGGTATCATATGGATGCTTGTGGTTAACAAAATTATAGAAGCTATGCCCATACTAAAAATGCATAACTGTATTTTCACTCTTATTTCAAGGAATGGGGAATTGTGGTGGGAGCTATAAATTACTACAAGAAGAAGAATATATTAATAGATCTCTCTCTCTCTCTCTCTCTCTCTCTAAACAATTGATCCCAGCATACCCCACTAGTTGATCCCTTGACCTAGTAAACAAAATTATACTGCACATGCTTATCAATTAATAGTAGTTGTTAGGTGAGCTGGAGGCACAAATGACAAGGATGACTTGATAGTTAGTAGTAGAAACTTGTACATATTTGAGTTCATATTGGTAAAACAGATAGGAATGAACTTACGGACAACTGGGCTGAATTTTATAAAGGAGTTTTTTACGGGACTGTTTTGTAGACTGGAAATTTAACGTCCAGAAAGACCAAGGCTTGAAAATGATTTGTGCCGATCTGAGTCTTTGAAGGAACATGAGAAGTGCTGCAATGAGGTATTATCACTTGCTTTCTAGAGGATGAAAATCTACACCATATTGAAGTGTGAAATCTAGAATGTTTATTCCTTGACCATGTAATCAAAGTTAATGAACGGACTATGTAATAGTTTCTTACACTACACATGCTTATCATTTAATAGTAGTGGTTTTGGTGAGTTGGAGGCACCAATGACAAGGATAAATTTAGTTATCAACTTGTGTGGTTGGTTTTTGACTTTTGAGAAACAAGGCAGAGAGACACATTAGAAAAATTCAGAAACATCCACGAAAGATCTAGGCTATGCCTACATTGACCTGTATTAACAGAATCACTCCCCTCCTGAGTTCACATCTCAGTTTTCAAAATATTACTTTTGCCTTAGTTCCAAAACTGCAAACTAGAGCCTTCAATACGAGTTGTAAACTACTAAATTGCTTGACCTGCTGGATCTTGTATGACTAAACAGGAGTTGTTAAAATTAATAGTTAAAAGATTTTTCTTATATATTTTATACATACACGAAGCATTGACTGCTTTCATCACCTACCTACGTGTGGTTTGTCTACTCTTCTTCAGAATCCAATTCAAATCCTTGTAACGAAAATGGTTAGACATTTATTTCACCACCAATAAAGTATATTCATCTCTATCTAATTGCTTACGAGGAAGAAGATAAGAAGAGCAGGAATTTTATGACTTATTGCAACCAAGTGGAGTGAGCATATAAAGAAGAGAAAGAACTAGAAAGAAGGCACGTGACAATTTTTTTATTTGATCTTAGGAGATAGATATACCTTAAAGAAGGTAGGTGACAATCTCTTTTTTTTATTTGATCTTAGGAGATAGATATACCTCAAAGAAGGTAGGTGACAATCTCTTAGAATCTCTATATAAAGCTTTAATTCTCTCAACTTATCAAAACAAAAGCTTTTATTCTCTCAGTCATATTAGTAAAACCAGTCCATTTTCATAAACATGGCAAAACTTGGCCTTTGCTTGCTATTACTCTTCTTCTTCTTCCATATTATGGTTAGCATGGTAGAGCCTACCATTGCCACAAATTCCAGTGCCACAAATTCTAGCACCACAAACTTCATAAAAGCCTCATGCAAAGTCACTAGCTACTTTGCGTTATGTGTTCACTCTCTCTCGAGTTATGCCAGTACAATTCAACAGAGCGATCAACAATTAACTCAAGCTTCCTTGTCAGTGAGCCTGGCCAGGGCTCGATTGGCTGCCGTGTATGTGTCCAAGATGACTAAAACTTCAGGTATCAAGCCTAGGGAGTACCAAGCTGTTAAAGATTGCATCGCTAACATAGGCGATGCCATATACGAGCTCAATAATTCGGTTCAGGAGCTAGGGCACATGGGTAAAGCTGGGGCACAGGACTTTGAATGGCACATGAGCAATGTGCAGACGTGGGTCAGTACCGCGCTTACCAAAGAGAACACTTGTCTTGATGGATTTGCTGTCCAAGGCATGGATGGAAATGTTAAGACTGCTATTAAGAATAGGGTCACCATTGTTGCACAACTCACTAGTAATGCAGTTGCACTGGCTAGCCGCTATGCAGCAAGACACCGAGCTTGTTCAACCACTAACGTTCCTTGATTAGATCTTGTCTTAAAGTGTCTTGTGATGCTAGTCTGTAGGTAAATGTTAATTGATAGACCTCAAAGATGTTTGTAATAGGCACTAGGTTTCCATTTTCTTTTTCATGTTTTTGATTTGGCGTCTAGTTCCTGTTCGCGTTGCATAGCATCTGCTTTATGCTTGAATGGTCTTTTTGAGGGCACAAAATGCTTGTTTATGTATAAATGTTACTTAACTGCTCTAAGTTTGATTAGTTCTTTGTACTATGTTTTTGTTTGTTACATGGTATTAGGCTCGATAATTTTGCTCTGTTTGTTTGTCTGTCTCTCTCTCTCCTTCTCTCTCTCATGATATTCCTACATGATCTAGGTGAGATTTTGTGTCACGCCCTGACCCTCGGGAATGTGAAATAACATTAAACTCAAAAAGTGACAAAATTATCTCAAAACATTCTAAAGAGAAGCCTATTTTAATTCAATGATAACAATAAAAGCACCAAATTGTTTTGACTCTTAAGAGTCTAAAATCTCCATCATATTAGAATTACATTCAGTCCATATTACATTATTAGACAACATACATTAGTCTCGTAGTGATGATCCAAAAACTCTAGTCAATGCATAGACAATCTCAAAATAGAATGTAACCCAACTACAAGTCAAGTCTCCAAAAAACATTACACTTCACGGACACCATAGTTGATCAAATCAGCTTAATAAGGTGAGTACTCAAATAGGCGATTCATGATATAAAAAAGAAGAAAATTTTCCAATACAATAACTGGTCAATCTGTGTACACAATAACCGGTAGGGTAAGAGTTTCTGTTAGGTTTAAATCTGTGAACTCCTTAACACGTGTCTCTAATATCTCAAAATTTCATTTACAAATTTTAAGTCAAGAGTATGAGAATTCCAGTCCTAAAGCCATACTGTTCAATTCAGTTCTCAACACAAGAATTTACCGTAAAATTCTAACAAATCTCCAATCAATTTCATGCTAAACAAAGTAGTTTGATAACTTAACCCACATTTATCATGTAAAGAAACATGTATGTAAAATTCTTATTTGTATTAAAGTGCTTCTGTGAGATATTACCACTTGTCTATCTAGAGAATGAAAATCTCAGCATACTGGGGTGTGAAAACTAGAATGCTTGTTGCTACTTGCAATCTTATTACTCAACTTACACAGTACTTCTTTCTATTTATCAGGTTCCAAAATAACCTTATGAAGTTCAAAACTTGAATCAAGGAGGGAATATGTTATATGGATATGCCTAAGTACACAAGCCGAGGTGTGAATACTGGGTTGCCCATCCTAAAAACTGCAATTAGTGTGTGCCAGTGTAACAGTTGGTATCATATGGATGCTTGTGGTTAGCAAAATTATAGAACCTATGCCCGGTACACTATTGGTATAAGGCTCCATACTAAAAATACATAAATGTATGTTCCTTCTTATTTCAAGGAAAGGGGACTTGAGTTGGTTGCTATAAATTACTAAAATAAGAAGAATATCTTAACAGGTCTCTCTTCTCTAAACAATTGATCCCAGCACATCCCACTAGTTAAGCCCTTGACCTTTTAAACAAAATTAATCAACACTTGACCGACTATGTAATAATTTGTTACAGTACTGCACATGTTTGTCATTTAGTAGTAGTTGTTAGGTGAGCTGGAGGATAGTTATTAGTAGAAACTTGTACTTATTTTAGTTCATATCGGTAAAAACATATAGCAATGAACCTATGGACAACTAGGCTGAATTTTATCAAGGAGGTTTTTTTATTTATTTTTTATTTTTTACCGGACCGTTCTATAGACAAAATTAATCAATGCTTAACCGACTATGTAATAATTTGTTAGACTACACATGCTTATCATTTAATAGTAGTGGTTAGGTTAGGAGGAGGCACAAATGACAAGGATGACTGGATAGTTATTAGTAGAAACTTGTAATTATTTGAGTTCATATTGGTAAAACATATAGCAATGAACTTATGGACAACTAGGCTGAATTTTATCAAGGAGTTTTTGTTTTTTTAGGGGACTGCTCTGTAGACAGGAAATTAAACTCTGGAAAGACCAAGGCCATGGTACTAATTCACATTATGTAGTGAGAATGGTTTGTGCCAGTCTGAGTTTTGGATGGAAAATGAGAAGTGATCCAATGAGGTATTATCAGTTGCTATTTAGAGGATTAAATTCTACACCATACTGAAGTATGAAAACTAGAATGTTTTTTTTAGGATGAAATGAAATGTATAGTCTGGCTAGTGGCCTAGCGGTATGAGGCCCTTACTTTTCAAAGGGAGGTCTAGGGTTCAAGCCTGGAGGCATGTGCCTGTGAGTACCAACTATAAAAAAAAAAAAAAAAATTAAAAATGGATAGCCTGGGCCAATATTGGTGGATTTGAGCCAACCTCATCACTCAACTAAACACAATACATCTTTACCTAGATATAGAGTCTCAAGGAAGGAAATATCTTATATGGATGCATAAGTACATATAAACTGTGGTGTTTTCCCATTCTAAAAACTGTAATTAGTGTGGGCCAGGCATGTCCGCTCTAACAGTTGGTATTGTATGGATGTTGTGATGTTGTGGTCCGAATTTTGTTCCGGTCGCGTTGTGACCCCTTTTTTGTTTACGGCTCGTGCACCCTATTTCGTACTCTCTTGTAGCCCGATATATAAGGGTGTTTAGGGTTTGGAGTGGGATATTGAGAGACATTGAAAATCGCATAAAAGAGAGTGAGGGCGAGAGCTATGGTTTGGGGCTGAAACTTGTAATCTCCTGTTTTTTGCATAATGAAAACTTTTGCCGGATATTCACCGTGAATGTAGGCTTTGCCGTGTTCTTTGTTTATGGTGTGCGTACTTTTCTATCATGTTTCTTGGATACGCTAAGTGGTTAAAAAAGTTGTAGAAGCTATGCCCAGTATTATTATAAGGCTTCATACTCTTATATCAAGGAAAGTGGACTTCTGGTGGTTGCTATAAATTATTACAATAAGAAGTAAATCTTAATAGGTCTCTCTCTCTAAACAATTGATCCCAGTAGTACCACACATGCTTATCATTTAATAGTAGTTTGTTTGGTGAGTGGAGGCACAAATGACTAGGATAGCTTTAGTTATCTACTTGTGTGGTTAGTTTTTGACTTTTGAACTGTATTAAGGGAACCACTCTGCTCCAGAACATCCACCTTCCTCTCAGTGTTCAAAATAATACTTATGCTTTAGTTTCAAAACTGCAAACTAGAGCCTTCAATATGAGTTGTATACTAATAAATTGCTTGACCTTCTGGATCTTGTATGACTTAAACAGGAGTTGTTGTTTAAATGAATAGTTAAAAGAATTTTCTTTTATAGTTATAAATACGGGAAACATTGACAGCTTTCATCACCTACCTTACGTGTGGTTTGTCTGCTCTTCTTCAGAATCCAATTCAAATCCTTGCAACGAACACATAAGGTACACATTGGAGTAAAAAATTGTTAGACATTTATTACACTATCAATAAAGTATTTTCATCCTTATCTGATAGCTCACAATGAAGAAAATAAAGAATATCAGGAAGTTTACAACTTCTTGCAACCAAGTGGAGCAAGCATATAAAGAAAAGATAGAACTACAAAGAAGGCACGTGACAATTTTGTATTTAATCTTAGGAGATAGATATACCTCAAAGAAGGTAGGTGACAATCACTTAGAATCTCTATATAAAGCTTCCATTCTCTCAACTTACCAAAACAAAAGCTTCTATTCTCTCAGTCATATTACTAAACCAATCCATTTCTACCTTTCATAAACATGGCAAAACTTGGCCTTTGCTTGCTAATACTCTTCTTCTTCCATTTTATGGTTGACATGGTTGAGCATACTGTTGCCACAAATTCCAGTGCCACAAATTCCGGTACCACAAACTTCATAAAAGCCTCATGCAAAGTCACTAGCTATTTTGCGTTATGTGTTCACTCTCTCTCGAGTTATGCCAGTACAATTCAACAGAGCGATCAACAATTAACTCAAGCTTCCTTGTCAGTGAGCCTGGCCAGGGCTCGATTGGCTGCAGTGTATGTGTCCAAGATGACTAAAACTTCAGGTATCAAACCTAGGGAGTACCAAGCTGTGAAAGATTGCATTGCTAACATGGGCGATGCTATATACCAGCTTAATAGATCGGTTCAGGAGCTAGGCTACATGGGTAAAGCTGGGGCTCAGGACTTTGCGTGGCACATGAGCAATGTGCAGACATGGGTCAGTACTGCGCTCACCAGAGAGAACACTTGTGTTGATGGATTTGCTGTTCAAGGCATGGATGGAAATATGAAGACTGCTATTAATAATAGGGTCACCAATGTTGCACAACTCACTAGTAATGCACTCGCACTGGCTGGCCGCTATGCAGCAAGACACAAAGCTGCTTCGACCACCAACGTTCCTTAATTAGATCCCGTCTTAAAAGTTTCTCATCATGCAGGTCTGTAGGTAAATGTTAATTGATAGCCCTCAAAAATGTTTGTAATAGGCACCAGGTTTCCATGTTAGTTTTCATGTTTTTGATCTGGTGTCTAGTTTCTGTTCTTGTTCCATAGCATCTGCTTTTATGCTTGAATGGTCTCTCTGACGGCACAGTACGCTGGTTTATGCACATATGTTTCTTAACTGCTTAAGTTTGATTAGTTCTTTGTAGTAAGCTTTTGTTTGTTACATGGTAATAGCCTAATAGGCTTGATAATTTCTCTCTCTCATGATATTCCTACATGGTTCTAAGTGAGATTTTGTGTCACGCCCGACCATGGGGAACGTGAAATAACATTAAACTCAGAAAGTGACAAAAATTATCTCAAAACATTCCTAAGATAAGCTTATTTTAATTCATTAATAACAATAAAGGCACCGAATTGTTTTGACTCTAAGAGTCTAAAACCTCCATAGTATCAGAAATACATTCCGTCCATATTATATTATTAGACCATATCCCTCAGTCTCATAATGAAGATCCAAAAACTCTGTTCAATGCATAGACAATCTCAAAATAGAATATAACCCAACTACAAGTCAAGTCTCCAAAAAATACAGATATATTTTTATTTAACGATGAACTTCCTTTAGCAAATGCCAAAAAATATGAACTGGACAAATGGAAATAGACATCAGATTATTATCAAGTAAATTATAGCATTTAAATTGTCATATTATCCAAACTTTGTTTTTCAAGTAATACCGAAATATTTCATAATGTCGTCTTATAAAGCAATTAATCAAATAATAGCAATTCATGAAATCTTAAGAAGATAGGTTAACACAATCAATCCACCATTCCTCACCAAATCAGCTTAATATGGCTAGTACTCAAATAGTCAATTGGTGATATAAAAACCAAGAAAATTATCCAAAGACAATAACTGATCAGTGTATATCCTATGCGTCTTTAGGGACCTTCTCCTAGGGACCACCACCCCATCCTTTGGCTTTAGGGGCTTGCACTCAGGGACCTTGAACACTCCCTCATTAAACCTGAGCCGTTTAGGGTCTTTCAACCCAAGAGAAACTCTTACCCTACCTATTTAATGCCATACACACACAGTTGAGAGATCATATCAAATTCCATAGTGCTGAAACATTATTTAATACTCACATACAGTCTGTTCTTGACAACAGGAACAACCGATGTTAAAAAAAATTCACGAAAAAAACCAAATATTCCATATTTCTTGGTACAATAAAATTCTGGATAAACCTCATTATGTCCAGTCTCAATTTTCAAATTATCATTCTTAAAATCCAACTGTAAACATGTTCGCAAAATCTCATTTTAACAATTAAAGTGCTTCTGTGAGATATCACTACTTGTATGTTCACTCTTAATTCAAGGAAAGGGGACTTGTGGTGCTTGCCATAAATTACTAGATTAAGAATGATATCTTAATAGGTCGCTCTTCTTCTCTCTAAACAACTGATCCCAACATATCCCACTAGTTAATCCCTTCACCTTGTAAACAAAATTAAACTATCGACCGACTACGTAATATTTTTTTACCTACACATGTTTATCATTTAATAGTAGTTGTTTGGTGAGTTGGAGGCACAAATGACTAGGATTACTTCAATTATCAACTTGTGTGGTTAGTTTTTGACTTTTGAGAAACAAGGTTGAGAGACTCACATTAGAAAAATTCAGAATCATCATCCACGAAATATCTAGGCTACATTGACCTGTATTAACGGAACCACTCTCCCCCATGCCGTCCACCTTCTCAATATTCAAAATATTTCTCATTTGTTAGTTTCAAAACTGCAAAGTAGAGCCTTGAACATGAGTTGTATGCTAGTAAATTGCTTGACCTTCGGGATCTTTTATAACTAAACAGGAGTTGTTTAAATTAACAGTTAAAAGATTTTTCCTATATATTATATACACACAGGAAACATTGACAGCTTTCATCACCTACCTTATGTGTGGCTTGTCTACTATTCTTCAGTATCCAATTAAAATACTTGTAATGAACACATAGGGCAAACATCGAAGTAAAAAATGGTTAGACATTTATTACACTACCAATAAAGTAAATTCATCTCTATCTAGTTGCTTGCATTGAATAAAATAAAGAAGACCAGGAAGTTTAAGACTTCTTGCAACCAAGTGGGACAAAAGAAGAACACATAATCTTAGAAGGAGATGGATATACCTTAAAGAAAATAGGTGACAACCTCTTAGAATCTCTATATAAAGCTTCCATTCTCTCAACTCATCAAAACAAAGCTTCCATTCTCTCAGTCATATCATCTAAAACCAGTCCGTTTCTGCCTTTCATAAACATGGCTAAACTTGACCTTTGCTTGCTATTACTCTTCTCATTCCTTCTCATGGTTGGCATGGCCGCGAAGCCTACCGTTGCCACTGATTCCAGTACCACAAACTTCATAAAAACCTCATGCAGAGCCACTAGCTATCCTGCATTATGTGTTCAGTCTCTCTCGAGTTATGCCAGTACAATACAACAGAGCGATCAACAATTAACTCAAGCTTCCTTGTCAGTGAGCCTGACCAGGGCTCGATTGGCTGCAGTGTTCCTCTCCAAGATGACTAAAACTTCAGGTATCAAGCCTAGGGAGTACCAAGCTGTGAAAGACTGCATCGCCAACATAGGTGATGCCATATATGAGCTCAATAGATCGGTTCAGGAGCTAGGCCACATGGGTAAAGCTGGGGCTCAGGACTTCTCATGGCACATGAGCAATGTGCAGACATGGGTCAGTACCGCGCTCACCAAAGAGAACACTTGTGTTGATGGATTTTCTGTCCAAGGCATGGATGGAAACTTGAAGGTTGCTATTAAGAATAGGGTCACCAATGTTGCACAACTCACTAGTAATGCACTTGCACTGGCTAGCCGCTATGCAGCAAGACACAAAGCTGCTTCAACCACCAACGTTCCTTAATTAGATGTAGTCTTAAAAGTGTTTCATCCTGCAGGTCTGTAGGAAAATATGTTAATTGATAGCCAAAGATGTTTGCAATAGGCACCAGGTTTTTTTTTTTTTTTTTTTTAAACTTTTTTTTATCTGGTGTCTAGTTTCTGTTCGTGTTGCGCATGCATAGCATCTGGTTTATGCTTGAATGGTCTCTCTGAGGGCACAAAAAGCTTGTTTATGTATAAATGTTACTCAACAGCTTTAAGTTGGAGTAGTTTTTTATACTAAGTTTTTGTTTATTACATGGTACAGACTTTGATAATTTGTCTCTCTCATGATATTCTAACATGGTACTTCTAGGTGAGATTTTTTTACTGGTCTGGAAGGACGGTAGAAGGCAACCTCGATTTACATATATGCTTAAGTGGGTTCATGCTGTCACTACTTTCTCAACCCATTGAACTCCAAAAATCATTAATTTGAGAACAGAACTGACAATAATAATACACACTACTTCAAAACCCACTTACATGGAAAAATAATGTGGCTGAACACGTAATCATAACATTCCAAATTATAATTATAATAATAATGATAAATAAATGAATAAAAATGAGGGAGCCGATGAAGGACTCAGCAGACGAGAGGTTTTGTAAGGTGTGGATTGGGATGGAGTGAGAATGAGAAGAGATGAAAGAGAAGAAATAAAAGAGGATATATGGAGGGAGAGACGAAAGAGAAAGCAAAGACGAGGATCGGACATTTGAATCTAGGGTTTCGTAAGAGGAATAATGTTATCTGGCCTTTGGCACAGAGAGAATTGACACGAGGCTTTTTAGTTGTAAAGATATTCACTAGTCCACAAAATCAAATCCGGTTGATAATATATATATACATGTATATATATTGTTACATATAGAAACAATTTATATTTTTTGGTTCCCTGTTTGTTTCTATAGCAAGTTGAAATGGTTTGCATATCTTTCTGATCTATTTCTATAGTTTTGTTTTCGAATTTCGTATCAGAGAATGTTGATTGCAACCTTGTTTTCTTTCTAACTATTTCTAGGGTTTTATTTTTGGATTCTGGATGGAGAATGTTGATTGCGATCTTGTTTATGGGGTCTGTTGATCTTGATCTGCAGATCGTCGTTGTTTAGGTTGTTTTCTGATCGTTGTGTAGTTTGTTTTCTCAAACGCAAGAGATAGAGGCATACGAATAGGCAACTTCTTGTGTACATTGGTTTAAGATGGGCCTCATTGGACTTACCACTTGGGTAGCCACGTTAACTTGTTGGAAGAGTCGTTTTATTTTATTTTATTTTTTTTTAGCTAAATAACACTACTTTTTAAAAATAAATAAAAAGATAGTAATATTCAGACTCCAAAGAAATTTTTTCACTCCACTTCTTCAGTTTAAATAATGAAGAAAGAGATATTTTTTATTTTTTTGAAGTGATGACATCATCTCCCTTCACAAATCAATGATGTCATTTTGACCTTCTTCTCTGTCCTCATTCCTTCTTTATTTAAATGTCAAAAATAACGTTATCAAGTTCGAAGCTTTAATCAAGAAGGGAAATATCTGACATGGATGCATGAGTACATAAACTGATGTGTGAATATTAGGTTGCCCATCCTAAAAGCTGCATTAGAGTGGGCCAGTCATGTCTGCTTTAACAGTTGGTATCATATGGGTGCTTGTGGTTAAAAAAGTTGTAGAAGTTATACCCAGTACTATTTATTTGTTTAATTTAATTTAATTTAATCTTTAAAGATACACACTCATTATTCACATTATGTGATTATTCGAACTCTCAACCAACCCTAAAGATTCATACCATTAAGATAGACACTCTTTGGTAATGGACAATACCCTGACTTGTGGTGTCTGCTATAAATTACTGCAATTAAGAAGAATATCTTAGTAGACCTCTTTCTCTCTCTCTTTAAACAATTGATCCTAGCATAGTCCATTAGTTAATCATAGTGCTGTAACTTGGCGGGTCCAACCCAAAATAACTCGAGTCTAACCCAATATTTTGTAGGCTTGGGCAATGTGTTTTTAATATCAATTTGGGCCGGCCTGGACTATATATTTTGAGTCTGAATTCAATTCGGTGTGGACTTAGGTTGATATGGATAAAGGCCGAAACCCAACTCGAGCCCGAAAATATTATATATTTTATACCTATATTTGGATCACAAGAGTGTAATAGCCAAGTTGACAGTGTGTTTACGATTTATGTTAAAGATTTCATATTCAAGTCGTGTATGCAGCATAAATTGATTTATTTTTTACACACAAATTATTCTGAGGCGGGCTTGGTGCGGGCTCGGGCTGAACTAATCTTATATGGGCTGGGCTTAAGGCGGGTTTGGGCTGGGCTTGGACTGAATATTTTTTATATGGGCCTAGCCCGAGATGAGTGCCAAGCCCGCCCAATTTGCCCGAGTTGCAGCCCTAATTAATCCCTTAGACTTGTAAACGAAATTAAAATCAAAACTTGACTATGTAATAGTTTCTTACACTACACATGTTTATCATTTAATAGTAGTTTTTTGGTGAGTTGGAGACACAAATGACTAGGATTACTTTAGTTAACAATTTGACTTTTGCAAAACAAGGCAGAGAGACTCACATTTGAAAAATTCAGAATCATCCATAAAAGATCTAGGCAACATTGACCAGTATTAACGGAATCACTCTCCTCTCGACCTTCTACCTTCTCAGCTAGAGCCTTCAATATGAGTCGTTGTTATTATTATTTTCCTTATCTTGATCTCACATGAATGGGGTCGGCCACATGAATTCTCTATCTCCATTCTTTTTTATTAAATGTTATACTACCTACTATATATATATATTTTAAAGTTTTTGATAATAACAGCCCATAGTATTTTTAGTCGCCCTCTCCATCTATTATCTTTTATGACAACCCTCCACTTGATCAAATGAGTTGTGTACTAATTAATTACTTTACCTTCTGGATCTTGTATGACTAAACAGGAATTGTTTAAATTAATAGTTAAAAGATTTTCTTATATAATTATACAAACAGGAAATGTTGACAGCTTTCATCACTTACTTACGTGTGGTTTGTCTACTCTCCTTTAGAATCCAATTCAAATCCTTTTAATGAATACATAGGGCACACATTGGAGTAAAAAATGGTTAGACATTTATTACACTACCAATAAAATATATTCGTCTCTATCTAATTGCTTACATTGAAGAAAATAAAGAAGATCAGGAAGTTTACGACTTCTAGCAACCAAGTGGAGTGTTAAAAAGTAGGTATTTTTTGGAGATGAAAGAAGAAAGCATATAAAGAAAAGAAAGAACTAAAAAGAAGAAGGCACGTGACAATTTTTTTATTTAATCTTAGAAGGATATAGGTATACCTTAAAGAAGATAGGTGACAACCTCTTAGAATCTCTATATAAAGCTTCCATTCTCTCAACTTATCGAAACAAAAGCTTCCACTCTCAGTCATATCATCTAAAACCAGTCCATTTATACCTTTCATAAACATGGCAAAACTTGGCCTTTGCTTGCTATTACTCTTTTCATTCCATCTCATAGTTGCCATGGCTACGAATCCTACCGTTGTCATAGATTCTAGCACCACAAACTTCATAAAAACCTCATGCAGAGCCACTAGCTATCCTGCGTTATGTGTTCAGTCTCTCTCGAGTTATGCCAGTACAATACAACAGAGCGATCAACAATTAACTCAAGCTTCCTTGTCAGTGAGCCTGACCAGGGCTCGATTGGCTGCAGTGTTCCTCTCCAAGATGACTAAAACTTCAGGTATCAAGCCTAGGGAGTACCAAGCTGTGAAAGACTGCATCGCCAACATAGGTGATGCCATATACGAGCTCAATAGATCGGTTCAGGAGCTAGGCCACATGGGTAAAGCTGGGGCTCAGGACTTCTCATGGCACATGAGCAATGTGCAGACATGGGTCAGTACCGCGCTTACCAAAGAGAACACTTGTGTTGATGGATTTTCTGTCCAAGGCATGGATGGAAACTTGAAGGTAGCTATTAAGAATAGGGTCACCAATATTGCACAACTCACTAGTAATGCACTTGCACTGGCTAGCCGCTATGCAGCAAGACACAAAGCTGCTTCAACCTCCAACGTTCCCTGATTAGATCTCGTCTTAAAAGTGTATCATCATGAAGGTCTCTAGGTAAATATGTTAATCGATAGCCCTCAAAGATGTTTGTAATAGGCACCAGATTTTTATTTTATTTTTTAATATTTTTGATCTGGTGTCTAGTTTCTGTTCGTGTTGCATAGCATCTGGTTTATGCTTTAATGGTCTCTCTGAGGGCACAAAAGCTTGTTTATGTATAAATGTTACTTAACTGCTCTAAGTTGGAGTAGTTTTTTGTACCAATCTTTTGTTTATTACATGGTATTATGCTTGATAATTTTGCGCTCTCTCTCTCATGATATTCCTACATGGTTCTAGGTGAGATTTTGTGTCGGCAACGTGAAATAACAATATTAAACTCAGAAGGTGGCAAAATCATCTCAAGAGGAGTTGTTTTGATTCTTCAAATTCTACAATTTCCATAATATGTATATTGTCCACCAATACATACAATATACATGAGTCTCACAGAAGCAGTATGTTGCCCACCAATATATACTCATATATATGTATATTGTCGTACCATCACTCCATTGATATTTGATTTTTCTTTTGTTGTGTCGCCATATCTCTATCATCTGGCATATGTAACCCGTATCTGTCTCCATGCTTCAATGAGTTATTGATTCCAAAACTTGCTAGTTGACGAGCCTTTCAATGATTTTGATACATTTAACATAAAATCATTTAAACTGGAGGCTTTGAGAAAATCTTATTATTCAACTTACACGGTACATCTCTCCGCTTGTCAAGTTCCAAAATAATCTTATGAAGTTTAAAACTTGAATCAAGGAGAGAAATATGTTATATGGACGCAGAAGGTACATGAGATGAGTTGTGAATATAGAAGGTTTATCCTAAAAACTGCAATTAGTGTGGGCCAGTCTAACGGTTACATATGGATGCTTGTGGTTAACAAAGCTCAGTACGCTATTGGTACAAGGCTTCATACTACAAATACATAAATGTACATTTACTCTTATTTCAAGCAAAAATTGGTGAATGTTCCTCAACTTACCCAATACTTCTTTACCCTGATATGGAGGGAAGTCTGCTGGTGGTTATTATTGGTTCCAGAATAATCTTACGAGGGAAATATCTTATATGAATAAATCATCATCATCATCATTATCATTCTTGTCTTAATCCCATATGAATGGGTTGGTCACATGAATTCTCTCCCTCCAAACTTTTCTTTTACATGTCAATTCACCTACTATATTAGTTTTTTAAATTATTTTTAATAACCTCTTCTCGTATTATTTTTTACCCACATTTCCATCTCTTACCTTTTATTACAACTATTCTTACTCATTTGACCAGCGCATTATTAGGTCTCCGATGCATATGTCCAAACCATCTAAGTCTATTCTCTCGAATTTTCTCACCAATAGATGATACACCTAATTTTCATCTGACACTTTGATTAGTGATCTTTTCTGACCTAGTCATCCACTCATACATCTTCAAATTCTTAATTTTTTTTTTTTTTTTAAGAGTAAATAAAGTACATAAATTGAGGTGTGAGTACTAGGTTGCCCATCCTTAAAACTGCAGTTAGTGTGGGCCAGGCATGCCTGCTCTAACGGTTGGCATCGTATGGATGCTTGTGGTTAAAAAAAGTCATAGAAGCTATGCCCAGTACTATTGGTACAAGGCTGCATACATGTATTCACTGTGATATAGTTTCTTACACCATACATGCTCATCATTTAATAGTAGTTTTTTGGTGAGTTGGAGGCACAAATGACTATGATTTCTTTAGTTAACAACTTGTGTGTTTAGTTTTTGACTTCTGAGAAAAAAAAAAAGGCAGAGAGACATTGACCTCTATTAATGGAATCACTCTCCTCAAAACTGCAAACTAGAACCTTCCATGTGAGTTGTATACTTAGTAATAAATTGCTTGACCTTCTGGATCTTGTATGACTCAACAGGAGTTGTTTAATTTAATAGCTAAAATTAACATTTTTCTTTTATATTTTTATACATACAGGAAACATTGACAGCTTTTATTACTTACCTTGGTGTGGTTTCTTTTACATTTATACATAAAGGAAACATTGACAGCTTCTTCAGAATCCAATTCAAATCCTTGATATGAATGCATGATGCATCTGGAAACTCTGACGTTATAGGGAGTATATTTATTTTAGATTTTAACAATAAAACTAACATACTGAACATGAAATAAATGTGTTGAAATTTTTACGTCACGCGACTATAGAGGATTCAGACTTATAATGAACGCGGAGCACATGTTTGAGTTAAAAAATGGTGAGACATTTATTACACTAACAATAGAGTATGCTCGTCTCTATCTGATTGCTTACATTGATGAAAACAAAGATGATCAGGAATTGTATCACTTCTCGGAACCAAGTGGAGCGAGCATATAAAGAAAACAAAGAACTAGAATGAAGAAGGCACGTGACAAATATTTTATTTTATTTAATCTTAGAGGGAGATAGATATACCTTAAGAAAATAGGTGACAACCTCTTAGAATCTCTATATAAAGCTTCCACCCTCTCAACTCAACAAAACAAAAGCTTCAATTCTCTCAATCATACCATCTAAAACCATTCTTTTTCTACTTCTCATTAACATGGCAAAATTTGACCTTTGCTTGTATTATTACTCTTCTTATTGCATCTAATGGTAGGCATGGCCGCGAAGCCTACCGTTGCCACATACTCCATTACCACAAACTTCATAAAAACGTCATGCAGAGCCACTAGCTATCTTGCGTTGTGTTTTCACTCTCTCTCGGGTTATGCCAGTACAATACAACAGAGTGATCAACAATTAACTCAAGCTTCCTTGTCAGTGAGCTTGACCAGGGCTCGATTGGCTGCAGTGTTCGTCTCCAAGATGACTAAAACTTCAGGCATCAAGCCTAGGGAGTACCAAGCTGTGAAAGATTGCATTGTTAACATAGGTGATGCCATATACAAGCTCAATAGATCAGTTCAGGAGCTAGGCCAGATGGGTAAAGCCGCTCAGGACTTTGCGTGGCACATGAGCAATGTGCAGACGTGGGTCAGTACCTGTTGCGAAATCAAACAGAAAATACAAGAAATAAATCAAGCACACACACAACAAGAACACACGGATTTTACTTGGTTCACCTAAAATCTAGAGCTACGTCCAAGGGTTGCAGGAATTTCACTATGACGATAAAAAACAGTAGCGGATACAGAGAGTTCAGAATGAATAAATACCCTCGCACTAGGACAACATAACAAGTGCGGAAATAACTAAAATACCTTCCAAAAAATTCGGGTCGGGGGGCTCTGCCCCCTGCAACCCCCCGCCAACTTACCGCAAAGTTGGATTTGCGGAGTTAAGGCTTGGTGTACAATATCTATCAGGCTCCACACTACTCATCAATCTCCCACTTGGAGACTAATAAATATCAAACTGTCAACTCCCATATGCCTTCATATATAGCAAAACACCACATCAACTCACTCCTTTGTCCTTAAGCTTGAACACCAACTGAAGCTAAAAAAAAGCTTCAATTTCTCAATTGTCACTGCCTTGGTTAACATATCTACTAGATTTTTAGTCCCATGGATCTTCTCAAGTGATAAAACTTTATCCTTTAAGTGTAAGCATATGAAATAGTACCTCAAATGTATATGTTTTATTTTGGAATGGAATGATGGATTTTTAGCAAGAAGAATAGCACTCTGACTACCACTATACAAAATGCTATTCTCTTACTTCTTACCAATTCTTCCAAAAAACCCTGCAACCAAATCATCTCTTTGCTAGCTTCTGTAATTGCAACATATTCAGCTTTTGTGGTTAATAGAGCCACAATCTTCTACAACTGAGAGACCTAACTCACAGTTGTACCACCCAAAGTATACACAAACCCATAGTACTCTTCCTATTATCTATATCACCAGCCAAGTCTGAATCAACATAACCATGCAATGCAACCCCTTTCCCAATAAAACATAGTGATGTTTCTGTGGTACTCTTCAAGTATCTAAGGATCCATTTTACCGCCTCCAAATGATGTTTGCCTGGATTACTTATGTACCTGCTCACAACTCCCACTGCATGTGCTATGTCCGGTCTGGTACAAACCATGGCATACATTATGCTGCCAATAGCTGAGGCATATGGAACTCTTTCCATGTATACTCGTTCTTCCTCTGTCTTGGGTGACTGTTCCTTAGTTAGTCTGAAATGACTAGCTAATGGGGTGCTCACTGGTTTTGCATCTTGCATGCTGAACTTGCTGAGAACCTTTTTAACATACTTTGTTTGTGACAGCTTCAGAGTACTACCCATTCTGTCTCTGCAAATCCTCATGCCAAGAATCTGTTTTGCTTCACCCAAATCTTTCATCGCAAAATGCACAAATAATTGTTTCTTCAGATTTTTAATCTTTCCGAGACTTGACCCAGCAACCAATATATCATCAACATACAATAGTAAGATAATTTAACCGTTGTCAAACCTCTTAACATAACAACAATGATCTGCATAGCATCTCGTGAAACCATTATTGCACATGAATCCATCAAACTTCTTACACCATTGTCTGGGGACTTGCTTCAAATCATATAAGCTCTTTTTCAGCTTGCATACCAAACCCGACTTTTCTGGCACTGTGAATCTATGTGGCTGTCTCATATAGATATCTTTCTCCAAATCACCACGGAGAAAGACAGTCTTCACATCGAATTGCTCTAAATGCAAATTTTCTGCAGCCACAATTCCAAGCACCAATCTGATTGTAGTCAATTTCACAACCAAGGAAAAAATCTCAGTGTAGTCAACACCATGCTTTTGCTGAAATCCCTTGACAACCAATCTGGCTTTGTAACGTTTGTTGCCATCATGTTCTTCCTTGATTCTATAAACCTACTTGTTATGTAAAGCTTTCTTGCCCTTTGGTAGTTTAGTTAGCTCCCATATCTGATTTAAAAAGAGTGAGTCCATCTCATCCTGCATAGCTAACTCCCACTTGGTTGAATCACCAACCTGCACTGCTTCATCATAACTCTCTAGTTCACCACCATCAGACAACAACAAATAGTGTAAAGAATGTAAGAAACGCTGCATAGATTTGGAGACTCTGGAGGACCGTTTCAATGCAGTAATAGGTGTGCCTTGTTCCACTTGTGGAACTATTTTTTCTGGATTGTTTTGAACTCTCCTCTGCACATCTTCCTCGGATATTTCCTCCAACTCAACAAACTCATCATTTTCAGCATGAGCACATGCATTAGTAGAATCTGTTGCTAACCTATCCTTATACATTACTTTTTCATTGAATATGACATATTTGCTTCTAATTAATTATCTTTCGGTTATGATCATCCCAAAACTGATAACCAAACTCATCAATGCCATACCCAATAAAAGTACATTTTTTTGACTTTGGATCCAGCTTGTTTCTAGCATCAGAACTTATATGTACATATGAAACACAGCCAAACACTTTCAGATGTGAAAGATTTACCTATTTTTTGCTCTAAGCCTCCTCTGGTAAGCCTCCATATAAAGGAACAGAAGGTTCCCGATTGTTCAAGTATGCTGCAGTGTTAACTGCATAAACCCAAAACATCTTAGGCAATCCAGCATGTATCTTCATACTCCGAGCACACTCATTCAAGGTTTTATTCATGTGTTCTGCAACCCCATTCTGTTGCGGGGTTTTAGGAGCAGTCTTTTCCATTTTGATCCCATTAACAGCACAGAACTCTTTGAAGCCTCTGTCTTCATACTCACCACCATTATCAGATCTCAAACACTTCAACTTTAAGCCTGTCTCATTCTCCACCATGGCCTTCCACTTCTTGAAAGTATCATATACTTCAGATTTATTTTTCAAAAAATAAATCTATACATTTCTCGTAGAATCATTGATAAATGTAACATAATACAATGAGCCACCAAGAGATGAAACTGGAAAAGGCCCCTACACGTCTTTATGAACCAATTCTAATTTCTCTGGCTTAGGTGTCTTGCCAACCTTTGAAAAACTGACCCTCTTCTGTTTCCCGAAGATATAGTCTTTACACAAACCAACTTCAACTGATTTAATACCTGACATTTTTCCTTTCAACAGAAGTACCTTCATCCCCTTCTTACTTATATGACCTAGTCTACAATGCCACAGGTTTGAATCTACGCCAGCATTAGCAACAACAATGGCGTTCTTGGTGTTTGTTGTCATGTATAGAGTACCTATCTTGCTTCCACGAGCCACGACCAAGGATCCCTTGGTGATTTTCCACAAGCCACCTACAAAATTAACTACGTGCCCATTGTCATCAAGTTGTCCCACAGAGATCAAATTTCTCTTCAAGCCAGGAACATGCCTCACATTCTGAATCTTCCATACAGCCCTATTAGGTTGCCTGATCCGAACATCACCTTTACCCATAATATTTAAAGGTTCATTATCAGCCAGATAAACCTTTCCAAAATCACCACTAACATAGTTTTCCATGATTTCACGATGCGGGGTAGAGTGAAAAGATGCATTTGAGTCTAGAACCCAAGACTCAACCAGACTATCTACACTCAAAATCAGAGCATCAACAATCTCTTCTCTAACGGCGTTTACAGATTCCTATTTTCCTTCGCTCTTCTTCTTTGGTGCTCAACACTCAAATCTCAAATGCCCATTCTTTCCATAGTTCCAGTAGGTTCTAATTTTCGACTTGCTTCTGTGTTTAGATTTGGATTTACTGCAATTCGAGTCTGATCTTTTAGAAGTTCTTCCTTTGCCTTCGGTATTGAAAATAGATCTAGATGATTCCCCTGTTTCCCTTTTGCGAATATCTTCGCTGAGGATTAAGTCCCGAACATCATCAAACTTCAATTTTCTTTTTCCTAAGGAACTACTCATTGCTGTAACAGTACCATTCTAGCTTTTTGGTAAAGAGGATAAGAGAAGCAGCGCCTTAATCTCATCATCAAACTCGATCTTTACAGAGCTTAATTGAGTCGTAACAATGTTAAACTCATTCAGATGGTCAGTCACTGAAGCGCTTTCTGACATTCTTAGGTTAAATAATCGACGTATCAAATATACCTTATTAGACACAGTGGGTTTCTCATACATATTTGAAAAGGCAGTCATCAAACCTGCTGTTGTCGTCTCCTTTGCTGTGTTTAAGGCAACGATGCGCGACAGTGTCAATCGAATGACCCCTAGTGCTTGTCGATCAAGAAGAGCCCAATCATCATCCTTCATCTCTTCTGGTTTCTCTCCGGAAAGAGGCTGATACAACTTCTTCTGATACAGATAATCCTCAATCTGCATCTTCCAGAACCCGAAATCTGCACCATTAAACTTATCGATCTTGATCTTTCCTTCTTCTGTACCCATCGCTCCCACTCGAACCTAATGGTTCTGATACCAGTTGTTACGAAATCAAACAGAAAATACAAGAAATAGATCAAACACACGCACAACAAGAACACACAGATTTTACTTGGTTCACCCAAAATCTAGGGCTACGTCCAAGGGTTGCAGGGATTTCACTATGATGATAAAAAATAGTAGCGGATACAGAGAGTTCAGAATGAATAAATACTCTCGCACTAGGACAACATAACAAGTGCAGAAATAACCAAAATACTCTCCAAAAAATTCAGGTCGGGGCAAGCCCCCGAACCCCCACCTTCAGGCAAGGGGGCTCTGCCCCCCCTATAACTCCCTCACCAACTTACCACGAAGTTGGATTCGTAGAGTTAGGGCTTGGTGTACAGCATTTATCAGGCTCCACATTACCCATCAGTACCGCGCTCACCAGGGAGAGCACTTGTGTTGATGGATTTTCTGACCAAGGCGTGGAAGGAAATGTGAAGACTGCTATTAAGAATAGGGTCACCAATATTGCACAACTCACTAGTAACACACTTGCGCTGGCGAGCTGCTATGCAGCAAGACACAAAGCTGCTTCGACCACCAACGTTCCTTGATTAGATATCTTCTTCAAAGTGTTTCATTGTGCAGGTCTGTTGGTAAATATGTTTTTAGCCCTCGAAGATGTTTGTAATAGGCACCAGGTTTCCCTTTTATTTTTAATATTTTTGATCTGGTGTATAGCTTCGGTTCGTGTTGCATAGCATCTGGTTTTTGCTTGAATGGTCTCTCTGAGGGCACAAAAAGCTTGTTTATGTATAAATGTCAACTGCTCTAAGTTGGAGTAGTTCTTTTACTAGGTTTTTTTTTTGTTAAATTGTATTAGGCTTGATAAATTTGCTCTCTCTCTCTCGTTTGTTTCACGTCCCGACCCTCAGAAACGTGAAATATAGTGACAAATAGTTGGTATCATATGGATGTTTGTGGTTAACAAAACAAATTATAGAAGCTATGCCCAGAACACTATTGGTATAAAGCTCCATATATACTACAAAATACAGAAATGTATGTTTACTCTTATTTCAAGGGAAGGGGACTTGTGGTGGTTGCTATAGATTACTAAAATAAGAAGAATATCTTAATATGTCTCTCTTTAAACAATTTATCCCACTAGTTAATTCCTTGATCTTGTAAAATATATATATATATATATATACATATATATATAATCAACACTTGATCGACTATGTCGTAATTTGCTACACTGCACATGCTGATCATTTTAATAGTAGTTGTTGGGTGACCTAGAGGTACAAATGACGAGGATGACTAGATGGTCATTAGTAAAAACTTGGTACTTTATTTGAGTTCATATCGGTAAAACAGATAGCAATGAGGAGTTTTTAATTTAATTGTTTATGGTATTGTTCCGTTTACAGGAAATTTAAGCTCTGGAAAGACCAAGGCCATGGTACTAATTCATTTTTGGAGTGAAAATGGTTTGTGCCAGTCTGAGTCTAGGAAGGAAAATGAGAAATGCCGCAATTAAGTGTGAAAACTAGAATGTTTATTTAAGGATGAAATGAAAGGAAGTCTGTTGGGTGGTTATTACTGGTTCCAGACTGATAATATCTTATATGGAAACCGTAGTCATAATCCCATATGAATGGAGTCGACTAAATAAATACCGTCATCATAGTCATCATAATCCCATATGAATAGAGTCGACTAAATAAATTCAAATTATTTTTAATAGCTTCGTCACAACTTAATTGTTTACAGAATGGGTTAGGTGTACTGAATTCTTCCATTGTACAGTGAAGAGTAAAAGATGTTAAAATGCAATTACATCTTAGAGAATGAAGATGACCCCTAAAGTTTTCAAGGAGTGGATTCTTCAATTCTATGAAAGGCTTTGGACAGCAACTGCAGCCAGTCACTGCAAAATAAATTATAGGAATTTTGATGAAAATTTTAATCCACACAATGCTCTAATAAGCTCTGATACCCAGCCAAATCCTTCAAAAAATATTGGGATATGGCGTGTTATAATATGCTATTACTATGTAAAACTGAGAAAATATATGCTTCAAGATTTGCTATTTTTCACATATGGAACATAATTCTAACCTATCATAATACTATTACTCAACTATTAGTATTACACTCACTAATCAAAAGAAGCATATTATAAAATCATGCAAGGAAACAGAAATTGCTCACAACTTTTATCTTCCAATTCAAATGCATCAATTCCATCCAACCGGAACATAGCCATCCAACCGAACACAGCAATGACACGTGACTTTCATATTCTGCAGATAATTTTGGATTTTGATCCAAGGCAAAAAGAAATCTCCCGTCTAAACCATTCATTATGAATTGATCTCACATTAACAGATCACATCAGCTAGCGCTGCTATGAGCTAAAGTTAATGAAAATGTTAAGACCAATACCAGATGGAAAAATATTCCAAACCAAAAAACAGAGTTTCATATCCTTCCAACTTTTTTATGTACCAGAAGAGAAAAAAACAGGAGTTATATCAACAGTCAGCCAATCTACCAATCTCCTGAAAGCCAACTTCTGTCCTCCTCTTCAAACATTGTTTCAGATTTCTCCTTATCAGCGGGGTTCTGCAAAAAAGGCATACACATTTAAGTACTCCAAGCAAAGTTCAATAAGAAATACAGGTATGTGATATCCATCAGCCTAAATGAACATCCAATGGAACAAAACAAAGAACCAAAGCTCCAAAACAGAACTGATGACTCCACCATGTGAATTATATGCTTCAACTCAAAGGTGCAAACAAAGTTAACAAGAATTACATGCTATGCTATGCAGCAGTAATGAATAACACGAGTCTGCGATCACCAGCAAAGATGGCTTTTGACTGGGTGTTTTGCAACACAGCCGGATTCATAACCAACCCAAAATTTGTCGTGTGAGGATGAACATAAGCACATGCGATTCAAGGGCATTCTCTATTTAAAGACTATAAATGATCATCCATAATTAACTAGTGATGCAACATACTGGGAGACTTGCAGCTACTAACTGAAAATTTTGATATTTGGCATTAGAATTTAACAAACAAGTAGAGGGAATCAATAGGAACAGAAGCAGACAAGTAGTTTATTTTTCCATCAAATAATGGTAAGCAAAGCCCTGAGACAGAATATCCCAGTATCCAGCACCTTCACTAACTTTATTTGATATACTTGTTGGTTCCGTTTTGAACCAATTTTGATTACACTCGCAAATAATTTGGGGAGTGTTCAAATTGTTACGAACTTATAGTTTGACAATTAAGACTTCCGGTGTCTGGATGTCTCGTCTCCCCAATTGAAGATGCCTGTGTTTAACCTTCCAATCCAAAGCTAGATATCTAGAAAGACATACTTTTAAACAAATATGGCTGTCATGTATGGATGGCAACGGGGCGGGTATGGCACGGGGTTTGCCTAAACCCGTTCCTGGCCCCGCCCTGTTTAAGAAATAAGAACTTCATGTTTGGAGACTGGCACTTTTTGACGAGTGAGCTCTTTCTGCCGCCGTCCTCTCTTCTTTATTTAGTCAAATGAATTTCAAGTAGACGAGAATTCACATTCCCCTAACCGACGTGGTGGAGAAGCCGTCGGCTGCGCCCTTTCTTTACCTATTTCAATCAGAGAATATAGGCATTAAGGTTGTAGTAAGGCCTTCTTCACTTTATGGTACCAGATTGGCTTTCCTAAGCAGAGCTGATTGGCCTATTTCTTTCTTCAATTTCCGTCTTTTTGAGAATCGAGGAGACTTTGAAGCTTAGCTAGCTTTTATAGTTAACCAACAAGAAGCCCACACAAAAGTACAGTCTTGTCTCTTATTCTTACGTGGATCAAATAGTTGCTTTCCAGAAAGACAAAAATGCAATAGAAGCTGTTTTGCCTTTCGCTGGTTAGCTTCAATGATTTTGTATATACTTTGAGTTCCTATTTCAGATTGGTAAGAAGGGATCCAGGACCTCCTTCCACTGAGCATGAAAAAAAAGAGTTGCCTGAACTCCTTGCTTACGCCCCTACTATTGGAAGCACACACTATATACGAAATAAGGCTATTCAAAGAAAGAAATTCTATAGAAGGACAAGGCCCCATTAGATTCGAAAGGAACGTAAGTTGCCACTTCAAATGAAGAAAGTGCTTATGCTATACCTGGCCTGTGCAGTGAAATAAATGTCATTCCTCCATATAGAAAGTAGTTGTCTTGCTCGGTTCCACGAGAATTTACTTTCATTCAACTGATGTGTGACCAAGGAATGGAAGCCTCCGGCTCCATCTCATCCCCTTAATGGGTGTCAAAAATCATTCTACTGCTTCTTGAAGTAGTAGACATACTTATGAATCAATTCCATTTCTGCCAGGTGATGAACTAGCTTTCTATTCCCTAACAATTTAACAAGTGGTGTGAAGAAGCAGAGCACTCGATAGGAAAGAACCTAGACACGGGGCGTGCATTAAAGGTAACAAAAGGGGACGTATAGCACTTTTTGACAGCGGTTGTTCATTCATAAAGATTCCTAGTTCCAGTTTCTAGGGATGAACAAACAGAATAATGCGGGACAGCCAGCTAGAATAGAAGAACAAGAAAAGTTTTCTCAGATTGAAGAACTGGGTCTAATTACCGCAGCATTGAGCGGATTCTAGCTCAAACTTTGACCGGTTGTAGCACAGCGAGAAGGTGACCGAGACTAAAGCTTACTAAAGTGAAAGCAAAGGATTCGACTAATAAAAGAACCACAGAAGCGACTCTTTTGGTACTCAAACTGCATATAGTGCAATGCAAGGCATTTTTTTCTTCTTTGGATCAAACATACTTGCTTTCATTTGGAGACTTGTTTTTCACAGTTGTTGAGGGAAGTGAAGTGACTTTGCACCTTCACGTATAACCAGAAAAGAAACTATTTTCTTAGTGATTCGAGAAAGAAAGAAAGAAAAGGGGTGAATGACAGAATGATGCTTGATTCCAATGACAGGTGTTTCTTCTTTTTCTCCAGTGATAAAAAGAGCATTTTGAGAAAGAGCTTTTAACATTCTCGGCTTTGAAAGAGATTTGAGATTCGGTAAGTAACTGAGTGAGTGCTTTCTAAGAAGGGCTTGGAAGAAGAGAGAGCTTTTAACCCAAAGAGGGAAAACTTCCATGATAAATGATTCTTAGAATGAGTGCTTGCACAGTAATCAATAGGATAATGAGTAAAGCCAGGAAGCATCCTCCAATTCATGAAAGAAATGCAAAAAATGGGCTAATGCGCTCTAACAGATGGTGAAAAGATTGAAGCACCTAGAAATGAATTCAATGGGGCAAGAACAATAAGGAGAGGGGGCAGGGTCCTTCGTATGCAGTGGTCAGCTATCTCCTATATGAACTGGAACTTAAGGAAACTCACTTCTTGATATGTTTGCCGCTCAGGCAAAGCAAGAGAGTGATATCTGAGACGTCGACGTTAGAATCCTCGTTGAGTTTTGCCAGCGTCTCAGGATTCCTGTCACCCCCGTCTCGCTAAGTACATAGCGTTTTTCACACGCCCCGGATAGGTAGCATAGGAGCATTGGAAGAGCTACGCGTTCGTACACCGAAGGCTACTTAGAAAGTAGGGGCACTGTCAGGTCCACCAAGTGTCCCATACGGGTCAGCAGGTAGACCGATGTCTATGTATCTGCTGGGGTGGTGTTCTCCCCTTTGAACTGCACCTATACTACGAATTTCTTGCGCACGCTATAGCTTAAGCTAAGTAAAAGGTTCAAGCTATCAGCACAATTCATAATTCATTGTAAAGGGTATACCCTGCACAGAAACGTAGTTGAAGCAAGGTTGGTCGTAGATCTCGCACTTGCACTTTCTAAAGAAAATGTCTCAATCATTCTCGCTGACTTGACCGATTCTACTGTATTATCTACGCGTTTATAGCACGAGTTTGGGATCAAAAGAAAGAAACCAACTCTAGCTAATCAATTGAGTGGGAAGAACAAACTGTGAAATGTAGCAAGATTTAGAAAAAAAAAAATAAGGAAGCTGATCCCCAGAAGACTTCAAAACAACTACAAACCCATCCTGTATACACTTTTTTTTTGGGTAATTTCCTTATTACCACCATCTGTATGAGGTATACCAAAGTATATTGGTGCGAATTCTACCCCACTATTAAACCAGTGATACTCGTCAAAGAAAAACTTTTAGAGATCCCTTTTTTCTTACAACCAAAAGAACCCTTGCTTCTTAAATGATTGCTTAAATGCACAAATTGTACTATAACTGTGATCCTTAATTTATTTTGCTTGCTTAAATGCATCTACAGATTACGTTTCTCTTCATGCATACTAAATAATTAAACATGAACAACTCACCTTCAACTTCAAGCCCTTCCTTCTGGGCCTGCTCAGTGAGCCATTCCCGGGCATTCTGTTTCACACGAGTATGTATGGTTAGCGGGATCTGGAGTCCTGCATGCGAAGAGCGAGCCAGCTTGACCACAGCGTTTAGATGTCCACGGTTTTTATAACAATCTTATCAAGCTTCAGAATCTTTGACTTACTGTCAGCCTCCTCGTCCCATTTTTCTTTGATCATTTTAAGCATTTTCTTCACCTTTTCCGTAAGCTTCTTAACTTGAATCTTTCGTTTCCGCAGTTTTAGCCGCAGCTTGTGACTCTCAGCCAACAAAACAAACACTGCACTGTGAGATGCAGATATATTCCTAAGAAGTCGCAATGAACGTGGCAGTTTCTGCGCAGCGTTCCTCCATTTTCTTGTCATATCTGTCATGAACCAAAAAAAGAATAACTATAAAAACATGATATTATAGTTATTATTTCTCATTTCTTTATTTTACTTCCAACTTCATCGATTTAAATACAGTAAGAAAGGGATAAGAAATATTTAAGAAATATTTAAGAAAATAGAGAGAAAATTTTGTTGACACAATATAACTAGTAGCACAAAAAAATGAATTGGACTTTGAATTCAATTTCTCAACAAACTCACAAAAGAGTTCTCTAGCCCATCATGTTTGAATTTAAACTCTCTAACATCACTCTTTCACTTTTATTTTTATGAGCAAAGCACATCACTTTGTGAGTGATTGGAGTTCGAATTTGGGCTCTCTATCACCTCTCTTTTAATTTTAGTTTTATTTTGAAGGCAAGACATAACAAATTTAAACCCACTGAGATTTGAACTATCGCTTTCATTTTAAAAGGAAAAAGACATACCTCATATTAATTTTTTTAATTTTTTTTTACTTACACATTTCACCATTCTATGTTGCTACTTGCACATATAACCATCCAATGTCAGTAGTGTGACAAAAAGAGCATACACACAAATAATCTTGAACATTATTTAAATCTACTTTCGTTCAAGTTGAGTTGCCAACATGTGACAGCCGCCACAAATATTGATTCATTGTTCCACATTGAGAGTATTTTAAAACATATAAAAGATAAACTATATGTTATTTATCATCTCCACAACTTGGTGGTGTCGCGGCCAAAAAGCACTAATTTAAAACTCAGAATCAAAATGAAAATAATAATAATAAACAGAAACAGAAACAGAAAAGCAGGAAAAAGTAGGAAGTAAAAAGCGGTTTGGGAGAACAGAAAGAAAATAGTAAGCCACGCAAATTACGGACACAAATACCGGGAATTTAATAAACATTTCACAGTTTTCTTGTTTAAAATCGTCGGCAGGCTTTGCCTTTAGGTGGTCAATACACGATCTCTAATATGCATGAGGTTAGATCTGCTACATAGGTCTAGTCTTATTTCTAAAATGCAAAAGCAATAAAGAATCTCATATAATTCAATATACGAAGGGTGCCATAATCATGGAAACTTAAATTCAAATGAAGATCATCAACAAACATCAAAATGCCAAGAAAAATTAAATCAAGATATCGCTATACTAAAACAAACCATTAACACAAGTAAATTCAGATCATTACTCGTTCTTGCGATTTCGATCTCTGCGGGAAGCCGTGGCAAATCTTGTTCTGAAATAGTAAATCAGTAGAGCAAATTCATCATTATGATCATCAAACAACAAGTGAGGAAGTAATAGGGAAATAAAAATCAAAAGAAGAAGAAATCGAGAGAACAAACCCTAATTTCTGCAAGATGCGGCGAATTGCTTGGGAGACCTATTTCGTATAGAGTACTGTATTAGTACTAGGGGTGGAAATGACGGGCGGAGTTTGGGTTGGGGTGGAAATGGGTGGGTGGAAATGACGGGCGGAGTTTGGGTTGGGTTAAAAATAAGTGGATTAAATATGAGTCAAGATTCATATTCAACTTGTGGTTAAAAATAAACGGGTCAAAAATATATAGGATCAACCCATTTGACCCATGGACTCATTAATTATTATTATTATTTTTAATTATTTTTTTCAAAATGTTTTAAAATTTTATTTAATAACAAATAAAAAAACAATCTCAAACTCAGCAATATTTATTAACTCGTTTGAGAAAGAGAAATAAAGAAAAGAAAAGAAATATTGATGTTTTATTAATAAATTTTTTTTAAAAATTTTGATGTCTACAAATATGAAAAAAGAAAATGTAATTTGCATATTTGGGGAAGAAAAAAAAAATGACCCGTGAAACATGACCATCCGTCCAAAATATTAATGCTTAAAAAATAAAATTTTCTTAAAAATTTTGATGTTTACAAACATGAAAAAGGAACATGTAATTTGTAAAAAAAAAAAAATGTCCCGTGAAACCCGACCGACCCACCCAAAATATAGATGTTTTAAAAATTAATTTTTCTTAAAAACTTTGATATTTACAAACATAGAAAAGGAAAATGTAATTTACATATTTGAAAAAAAAAAATAATAATTAAAAATTTTGACCCGTGAAACCCGACCAACCCGTCCAAAATATTGATATTTTAAAAATAAAATTTTCTTAAACACTTTGATATTTACAAAAATGGAAAAGGAAAATGTAATTACATATTTGAAAAAAAAAAAAAAAAAAATTGACCCATGAAACCTGCCCAACCCGCCAAAAATATTGATGTTTTAAAAATAAAATTTTCTTTAAAACTCTGATATTTACAAACATGGAAAAGGAAAATGTAATTTGCATATTTGGGAAAAAAAAAATTAAAAAAATGACCAGTGAAACCCGACCGACCCGCCCAAAATATTGATGTTTTAAAAATAAAATTTTCTTAAAAACTTTGATATTTACAACCATGGAAAAGGAAAATGTAATTTGCATATTTGAAAAAAAAAAAAAATTTGACTCGTGAAACCCGACCGACTCGCCTAAAATATTGATGTTTAAAAAATAAAAATTTTGATGTTTACAACTTTGGAAAATAAAAATGTAATTTGTATATTTGTAATAATAATAATAAAAAAAAAAGACCCGTGAAACCCGACAGAACCGCCCAAAATATTGATATTTTAAAAATAAAATTTTCTTAAAAATTTTGTTGTTTACAAACATGGAAAAGGAAAATGTAATTTGCATAATTAAAAAAAAAAAAAAAAATTGACCCATGAAACCCGACCGACCCGCCCAAAATATTGATGTTTAAAAAATAAAAATTTTGATGTTTACAACCTTGGAAAATAAAAATGTAATTTGTATATTTGTAATAATAATAATAAAAGACCCGTGAAACCCGACAGACCCGCCCAAAATATTGATATTTTAAAAATAAAATTTTCTTAAAAATTTTGATGTTTACAAACATGGAAAAGGAAAATGTAATTTGCATAATTAAAAAAAAAAAAAAAAATTGACCTATGAAACCCGATCGACCCGCCCAAAATATTGATGTTTAAAAAATATAAATTTCTTTAAAATTTTGATGTTTATAAACTTAGAAAAGGAAAATGTAATTTGTATATTTGTAAAAAAAAAAAATTGACCTGTGAAACCCGACCGACCTGCCCAAAATTTTGATATTTACAAATATGGAAAAAGAAAATGTAATTGGTATATTAGGGGGATAAAAAATGAAAAAAAAAAAAAAATTGACCCTTGAAACTAGCCCAAAAAATGAGGCTGGCCCAATCCAACTCGATTTCGAATTGAGGTTGGGTTGGGATTGGGTTGGGTTGGGCCAGCCCAACTTGCAACCCTAATGAGTGAATTTTAGGGAGAGAATGAATTAGTGCAATATAAAATAAATGTGTGTTAATGTGTCTATTATATACGGGGTGAAATATGGGTTGAATATTGGCTCTCAAATTAAATGGTTAAAAATTACTCAACTCATTTTTGACTCATCTTAAATATGGTTCACCCAAAACCATTAAATAGCTGGTGGATATGGGCAGGTTGATAGTTTCTGATCCATTTTATCACCCCTTGTTAACATTGAGCACTCTAAAGTTATTATTATTATTATTATTATTATATATTTTTTTCAGGGTAATTGGATTATGCTAAGTGTTTTTGGCTGAAACATTATCATGTACTGTTCATCAGAGTAACAACTACATGAAAGATTGGCTCGGTCGGCGGCCTGATGAAAGTCTTGTTTCTGTTCTATCTCTTTTGGGAATTAGAGAAGCTGCACGCACTTGTGTACTCTCAAAAAGATGGGAACATGTGTGGTCATACAACAGGGTTCTAAATTTTGATGCTTTACAAACAAATTTGCATCTTGAATCCAATCGAAAGGAACTGGAAGTAGAAAGATCTAGGTACATAAATTGGGTGAACAAAGTCATAGAGTCGCATCTTGGTTCAACCATAGATGAGTTTAGAGTTTCTTTTTGTTTGAATAACTCTTCTAGTTGTGACATTGATAGATGGATTGAGTTTGCAATAGCAAAGAGAGTTCAAAGGCTTTAAGGTGGACTTGAACCATGTTTTGTTTTTGGAAATGCTTAGCATATACTTTTACAAACTGGAGTTATATTCACATCAAAACTCCTGCGGGTTTGTCCAGCATTATGTCACAGGCTTAGAGTTTCAGCACCACTCTAGCTACTCTAGTGCGGGACCAAGACGTTACTTCTACTTTCGCAAGTATTTGGTCAGCCTAACTCCCGTGCCCACTTTAGCCAATGCAATCCCCTCGTGCGCTTACTAGTGTTGTAGTGGCCCTCGCCCTTTCCTCACTTGGCTTGCACACTCACATACACTAAGGTACTTAAGTTGGTAAGGAAAAAACACTTCCATTACTTCAAAGAATACTTTGTACAAGGTTAGTTCTCAAACTCTCTACAAGGCTCTCAAGACTCACTCTAGGACTTGTTGGCTACAAAATGAAGTCATTCTCCTATTTAAAGGCATCCCCATCCCTAATAGACGGCTAAGATGCATTCTAACTGACAGTGGAGATCAATTTTCTAGAATTTTCTCCCACCTTTTTCATACTTCCATACATATCTACAAGTATCTACAACATTCTAGAACTCTCCATACTGCTCCACACAATTTTGGAGAACTCTAGAACCTTCCACACACTTCTACACATTTCTACACATATCTAGATCTTCCACACAACTCCAGACAATTATGGAAGACTCTAGAAACTCTTCTCACCATACAGTTGCCATGCAGCTTCCTACTCAGCGTCTGCGTGTCGCCTACGTGGCGTAACCTCCATAGGCGGGGCGTGACATTCTCCCCCACCCATTTCTGTGATGCCCTCGTCACGGTTTCTTCAACTGACCCAGCCTCTCGCAGGTCATCAGCACTTGCGCATATGTCCTTGGCCCAAACGTACGCGCGCCCTTCGGGAGATGTGAGGTTCTCACGAGCTCCATCGTGTTGACTGCCACCTCTTAACTCTCCTTCCTGCCCACAAGCAGCACTATGCATGCGTCCTTGTTTTCCTCGCCTCTAAGTATCATCAGTGCACCAAGGCACGATAGTGGCGCGACGTTGTTCCTGTCCATGAACTCCAACCCCAGTACCATGTCATGGTCATCCATCTTCACAACCTGGAAGTAGGCCTTACCCTTCCACCCTTACATGCATAGCTCTACCTCTTTGCACACTCTATTCATGCGTGCCTCTACGGAGTTGACGGCCTTGACCCAGCCATTCGTCTTGCGCATCTCTAAGCCAAGTTGTTGCGCTTCCTTCGGGGTAATGAAGTTGTGTGTGGCGCCCTTGTCCTCCAACGCTTGCACGGCTTTGCCACCAACCTGTGCATCCACATAGCGCACCCCAGCTACCTTCTTCGCCTTGCCCTTCTTCTTGGTGTCATGTACCATGCTACTCAGTATCTACATAGCCCCCATGCACCTGTCTTTGTCACTGCCCGCATCGTTCATCTTACCCTTGCCCTTATCCTTCACAAAGGCCCTCATGGTCTTCTTATTGGGGCAGTGTCGCAATATGTCCTGCCATTCGCACAAGTAACACTTCGGCTCCCACTTGCCCTTGTCGTGGTGTTCCCCTTTGCCACTGGCCTTGGACCTCTCTCCATGGTCCCTGCCTTTGTCATGGCGTAGGCGTCTCTCCTCATCGATGTGCTCATCATCGCTGGACTTGGGCGAGCCCCCTTTCTTGGAGCGCCGGTCTCCCCTACCTTTGTTGTGGTCCCTCCTGGGAAACGTGGCCCTCTTGTCATCACACCTAAAGTCTTTAAGGCGATCCACTACAGCCATTACGGATGCTAAGTCTCTAGCCTTCACGGGCGGATCCAGCGTAAAACTGGGCTGGGCTCGGCTCCAGCCCACCCAAAAAAAAAAAAAAAAAAATTTATTATTATTGGTATTTTTACCCCAGCCCAAAAAAAATAATTATTTTTAATATTAGCTCACCCAAATAAGCCCAAGTCAACTAAGCCACAATACTAAAATAAAGGCCCAAGCCTAACAAGCCCTATTATTAGGATATAAAGTAAAACATATTTTAAGATAAAATTGTTACAGGGGTAGTTCTGAAATTATATATATAGCATAAATTCATAATTTCAACACTTTCATATCATCATGAAAAATAAACAAAGCTCCTGTGTTTATCTAGAAAGTATTCAACAAACAAACAAAAAAATCTATGGCATTATAAACTACGAAAATTTGATGATTTTGATCTCTAGTAGACAAGTAGTATTAGTATAAAAGAAAACATCTAAATCCAATAATTCACAAATCAAAGGTTGCTAACTTACTACAATTTAGATAAAACAAATATAGATGGGTAAGTGTTAGAATTTCAAATTAATTTATAAAATAAAACCACAAACCAAAATTACAATAATTCAATATTTAAAACCAACAAAGTTTATAAAATAAAACCACAAACAAAAATTACAATAATTAAATCTTTAAAACAAAAAAAAAAAAAAAAACAAAACAAATATGAAAAGTGTTAAAACATAGCACGATAAGAGATGAATTACCTTGTTTAAAAAATTGACTTGGAGTCTATTATCAACGAATTTGAGTCTTTAAAGATTCGTCGACCACAACTTAAATAGATATTTTGTAATATTTGAATTCAAATATTTATCTAGATTATATTATAAAAAAAATTTGCTTAAGAAATTGTGTTATTAAATTTATGTTTAATTTTAGCCCAGCCTACTGCCAATTTTCTGGATCTGCCCTTGCTAGCCTCCCTCCTCCTAAGCTCCGTGGCCACCCAAGACTACAGCCCATCTATGAACAAGCACACGTGTTGCCTAAATAATATTTACATGCAGCAAAAAAGAGTCCTAAATAATATGGACAATTGAGAATAGTAGTTAATATTTCCAGAGTTTATCTATACCAATAGTATAAGACAATTTAAGGATTTGTATGATGATTGTGTAATTAGAGGGATATTATTGATTGTTGAGTCCTACATTTATTAAATGATACGATCAAAGGGATTACTTTTATTCAAGATTTTATGTGTACTACCTGAGTAGGCAGAATAATTGTATTAATAGTAAACTCGCATATTAGAGTTCGGAAGTTTAAAAGTGAGTCTTTACCCAAATTGTCTCCCATAGAGGGAGTAATGTTGATTGGAAAGGAAAGGATGTTATCACCTCACTCTATAAATATTTATGTTTTATTTCTAGGCAATAGCCTATAGTTAAAGATATAAATATATATTTTGCACCATGTGTAGAAAAAAAGAGTTTTCATGTATTTTGTTGTAAGAAAATACAGCAATGGGGATAATTACCAACGCATATAAATTGATGAGATTAGGTTGCAAAAAAATGCACGGATTAGCTTAGCATATTCTTAATAAATTATGAGATATGTCTGCTAATTATTGGTTAGTATGGATGGGTTATTTTCCATACGGAAAAAGGAAAAATGGAAAGTGAAATAAATAATTAAAGTTTTCATTTTATGAATTCATGAATTCCGAGGACGGAATTCCTTTTGTTAGGGGGGAAGAATGTAATACACTTATATTTTAAAGAATTATTTAATTAAATTAATTGCCTTTAAATAAATTTAATGGATTTATTTATTTTAAAATAATTATTTGTTTATTTGTTTATTTGATTTATTGGTATGATGAAGTGCTTGATTGTTGATTGATTTGTTGACGTGTTGATTTTTATTTGTATGGTATGACTTAGTTGTTAATTTTTATTTGATTATGTGCTACATGTATTTAGTTGTTTTAATATTAAGTGTTTATTTATTTAATTATTTGTTTAAATTTAATGGATTGGGCTTGGATTATTTGGACCAAATGATTTAGGTCTTGGGTTGGAAAAAGGAAGCCTTAAAGGATTTGGCATGGTTTAAAGGCCCATAAATTTATGCATGAGTATATATATATTTATTATGCATATTAAATGGATTATTATATATATATATAGAGAATAATATATTTATAGTAAGTATATATGTATAGGACTTTATGCATATATATGGTAAGTATAGTTAAAAAAGATTTATAAATATATATTACAAAATATATATATATATATATATATATATATATATATATATATATATGTTTTATGTATATTAATATAGTTGGAGTCTTACATGGAGGAGGATTTGAATTGGCAATATATATTATTTTTATTTTTTATTGTGTGAGAATATTTATATATATAATAATAATTATATATATATAATAAAATATATTTGTATATATTTTATTTAAGATTATTATTATTTTTATTTGGGTAGTCATTTTAGGAATAGGATTAGGGTATTAATGTGTATAAATATACACATAAGATTATATTGTTATAAGGTTTTTCACGTTAGAAAAAAATAAGAGAAGCAGATAAAAAGAAGAAGGGAAGGCTGACAACGAGAAGGCTGGATCAGAGAAAGAGGACGTCGGATTTGGAAGAGACAACCAAGGTTGAAGCATCGGTTTCGTTTCGAAACTTTCAGGTAAGTTCTTTTCTAATTGTTCTCTTAGAACCCATAAGTTTATCACCTTAGATATCAAAATCTATAGATTAAATTGGCATGTTAATTACCTAGATATAGGATAAATGCATGTAAAGAAATTGATTAGAAGAAAAAGAAGAATCATTCTTTAACTAGGAAACTTTCTCTAATTCCTGTTTTAGTATTATGTCTGTATCTCTTTCCTTGAGTGCCAAAACGGCTCAAATCCCACGTGATTGAACGAAAATGGGTTGGAAGTCAGTACGAATTTTGTATATATATATATATATATATATATATATATATATATATATCTTATCCCATAATTGTTTTAACCAATTTGGATAATTTGTATTGGTTAAGCCCAAATAATTCTTAATATTTATTTAACGTGTAACGTGTTATTTGGACATTTCTAAATTGTGTAACCTACGTGTTATACTGCCACACATAAATAAATAAATATAACCTAATCACTACAAGAAATTAGGCTATTAGGAATAGTCATTTAGTGACGCACTAAAAAACTGTCCCTAAAGATCTTATTATTAGGGACGGGCAAATTTTATTATCCCTAATACCAGCCTTTAGGTTATGTTTGGTAGGGTGGGTTCGAAGGGAGAGGATAACATTAGTTATGAGGGAAAGGGAAGGGAAGGGAAGAGAAGGATAATTTTAGTCTCCTATCGTGTTTGGTTGATTATTGAATGGAAAAGAAAGGGAAGGATAATAATCATGTTTGGGGAAAGAAAGGGAAGGATAGAAAGGAGAATTATTTTAATAAATTTACTATTATGCTCTTTTATATTTTAAAATATAAATTTATATATATATATATATATATATATATTTGTCTCCTTTATAAAGGACATGGAACGGCCACCAGAAAATGAATTTTTTTTTAGGGCAAATCATTTCAGCCTCCATCTCTATTCTCGTTCTCAACTTTGAACTTACCCTTTCTTTCTCTCTCTAACTGCAAATACAAGAATCAGAAGTTCAAAATATATTTTAGTTTATATATTTGTCTGCAAGAATCAAAACTTTAAAACCCATATCGGCATCATTTTAGATTGTTCAAAATATTAAAACCCAATTCCAGATTGTTCAAAAAATCAAAACCTATATCGATCTTTCAGTTTCCATCGGCTGTTGTTCCAATTCGGGTTCGCCGTTCGCAAGCTTCAGCCGCTGGCCCTCTTTCTCTCAACTCTCAAGCTTGCCCTCCTCTCTCTGCAACTCCTAAATCAACTAATCAAGGTTTGTAATTCTTGTTTTGCAAACTAGATTCACATGTAATCAAGGGGAAAATTGGCATCTGAAATCACACACCAAGGCTCTCCTTCCCTTTCCCTTCATTTCCTCCCATTTTTGGGAGGTTAAGAAATTTATTGTTGAAGCCTTGTGTTAACCCTCCAAACCCTTCCCTTTCCTTCCTTTCCCTTCCAACAATTTTTGCCAAACACAAATTTTTAATCCCCCTCCATCACCTTCCTTTCCCTTTCCTCCCTTTGCCATTGCACCAAACTGACCCTTAGGCTATGTTTGGTACAGTAGGTTTGAAGGGGAATGATAACATTAGTTATGAGGGAAAGGGAAAGGAATGGAAGGATAATTTTAACCCCCAATCGTATTTAGTTGATTAATGAAGGAAAAGAAAGGGAAGTATAATAATCATGTTTGGGAAAAAAAAGGAAAGAGAGAAAATTTACTATTATACCCTTTTCCATTTTAAAAGATATATATATCTATATATCTAGACCAAAAAAAAAAAAGTAAAATAGACCAAAAAAAAAAAAAGAAGTAAAATAGCCTCTGTAAGCCACGTATATGGATGATGGGCCACAAGATTTAGGGCAATATCATTGCAGCCTCCCCAATCTCTCTGCCTCTATCTCTATTCTCGTTCTCAACTCTGAACTTGCCCTCTCTCTGTTTCTCTGTGCACTACAGCCGCTGTCTATCAAGAATCAAAAGTTCAAAACCCAAATATTTCAATTTGTCTATTAAGAATCAAAAGTTCAAAACACATATCGGCATATCATTTCAGATTGTTCAAAAAATCAAAACCCATATCTTTCAGTTTCCATTGCCCGCTGTTTCAGTTCGGGTTCGCCATTCGCAAGCTTCAGCTGCTGGCCGCCGTCTCTCATTCTCTCTACAACTGCTAACTTGTATGCATATTGTTTTTTGCATACGAGAAGAGGGTAAAATTGGCATCACAAATATTACATCAGCCATTGCCTTCCATTTTCTTCCATTTCTACCCATTTTTGGGAGGATAAGCAAATCACTGTACAAAGCTATACATAACCCTCCAAACCCTTCCCTCTCCTTTTTTTTTCCTTTCACCCATTTTACCCAAACACAATTTTTGAATCACCCTCCATCACCTTCCTTTCCCTTTCCCCCCCATTTTCACTCTACCCAACTGAGCCTTAGGGACAGTCAATCTGATATGTCACCAATACCGTCCCCAATTCCACCAAAAAAGTAGTGGCAAGTTTTAGCCTCTTTTTTTTTTTTTTTTTTTTGGCGCTATAGTATGCGTAAAAATGAAATATATAAAATTATTTTATTTTACAAAATTGGGAAGAGTAATCAAACTACGTCGTTTTTGCCTAAAAAAATTAGTAAATATCATTTGCAAACCTCGATCTTCAATTCTTGTCAAAAGTTGCAGAGCTCTTCCACTGTCACGAAATATTAAGACATATATCATTTACAAACCTCTTCAGTTCTTCTTAAACATTCTTTGGGCTTGATTTTCACCGAATTCAATAGCTCGTTCAAAGCGTCTTCAATCTTCACCGAATCAGAAGACGATGATCTTGAGGTACTACGTTTTTATTTTTGCAAAATTTTAGGGATTATTCAAGTTTGAGCCTCTTTCTTCAATTTTCAGAGAACCTCCATGTTCAATTTGGCGTTCATATAACCCACTTCGGTTTCATGATCCTCACCCTAGTTTTATTTTTATTTTTATTTTTATGTAAATACATGTTTTAGGGTTTTGAAATTGCAAAAGGCCTAACAGTTGAAGGGGTAAATTACAAATCTAGAAAAAGCTTTTCGTTTTAGTTTGAATTGCTGTTGGAAATCATACAGGTTGTTTGAACTTTCTAACTTTATTAATTTATCCCTTATATACATATAAATATACATGTATGTGTATCCTTTATATATATATATATATGTATATGCAATTCATTCATTAGGTCACGAACACATAAAAAAATTGTGTACTATTTTCATTCTTATTATGTTGTTTCTTTACTCATTCATTATTATACAATAGATTTAATCACTCAACATTCTGCTTCTAGTTTTACTGGCAGTTATCTACTTGTCGTGAGGTATGTTTCACTCTCTTCTTCATATCTCAATTGACTAGCTTAGATTGCTTCTCTATACTATTTATTTATTTGAGGTTGATTTAGGTATCAATTTTGTAGACTTTCTATCTAATATTTGATCTGCACTTTTTTATTTATTTTTATTTTTAACCACTTTTTGGTTGGTGCAATCCCATAGTAGCACTTTATAAAAATAATGCCAAAAATTATGTCACAATATAGTTTTGTCCCTTCCAGTTCCAGCACCCCTGATTAATGGAGACTATATTAGGTAATGGCCTCTTTATTTATACACACACATATATAGAAAAAAGCTTTATCTAACTTCAAAAAGGAATGACCAAGACTACTGCGTCTCGAATGACCCATAATGATTTAGTGGAAATCATAGATGGCAGGGATCAATCACAATAGAGGACAACATGTTTGTACATGAAATTTTGGAGGATAGTGTTAAACAACAACTGTTCAGAGTTTGATAGCATATCAAAATCACTTGGATGATGAGGGAGAACACTGAAATGAACTAATCATAGTAATGACAAACAATATATGTGAGCATGAAAATAACTTTTAGATCACAGATATCATACTACTAAAATTTATCTCACATTATAAGACAGGAATTATATTCCAAGACAATTTGAAACAAAGATCAAGTCAAGGACAAAAATTTTCCAGGAGCAGCTAATTTTTTGAGAATTTTACAGAGAAAAACAAGAGAAACTATTTACTTGGGAGATCTTATGATCTAGGGAAAGGAAATGAGAAACTGTTGTAGAATAACATCTTTTTACAATAAGTCTGTTGTCATAGAATAAAAACATATTCTCTTCTTGTAGGTCAATTGGTATAATTTCTATTCAAGTATAATAGAGTTTGTAGTGAAGTAGAAAGAGAACAAAACATGTATTCACCTTATTTCCAAGTTGAATCATAGAATAGTTGCAAGAGAGTCAATATAGGAAATCACAATTCATGTAAGTGGGATGTAAGGAATAAGGATACTTTCTTTCTTTTTCTTTTTTTTTTTTTTAAGTAAAGGAATAAGGATACTTTTATGAATAAAGTTTTTTTATGAGGGTGTTATCTACTTTTAAGAAAATGTAAAATATATTAGGACTAAACCAAGAACATCCTGCTTTTATATATTAGATTTCTTTATTTGATGAGTATCAATTTCCTCTAAAGCAAAGGACAGAAAATGATGGGAAGGTCTCAACTAAACCAGCAAATAGCTACTGCTGAAATGAACCCTTGTAGTGACCATCCCTTTTGCAGACCATTTGGTCATCCGTTAAAAGTTTTTAATTTCTTCTATTTTTATTTTTTTTTTTTTCCATTGGACTTTCTTTTACTAAATCTATAATGATATACAATAGATTTGGAATTCTTAGGTTTTCCACTTTTATCATCTAAAGGTGCATGTTAAATAATCAATGATATTGTCGTTGCAACGTGTAATGAATTTTCTTGTTCTATTGAGAGATGTTTAGCAATTTTTTTTTCCGTATATAATTTTTTTCTACATTATTGCTGCTATGTCATTACTTCACAATATTCCATCTGAGTTTAAATTAGTTTAAGAATAACAACCTATAATTGAGAGTTCTCTGGCAGATGGACATTAATAAATGAAGGTAGATGGACATTAGCGATAGTTGACCCATGACAGTCAATGAACAAATACTCAAATTAAAACATGTTTCTTTGTTTATTAACAAATTCATTTTAAAAACCGGTATTCGATACTTCTCACATCGATCACATAACAAATACTTCTCGCATACTTCAATACACATTTTTAACTAGTTTTAAACATTAAAATGTAGATTTTCCCAAAATAATATCATAGTATAATTGTTAAGAAAAGTTTAAAATTTATTTTTAAAAAGCCATTGAAATATATATTTAGTACAAAATGTATCACATATCATGCAAGATGACTCTTAACTCTTATTTTGTTTCCTAATCATTAAATCTTATTTTGTTTGTTAATCGCTTGAATTTTTTTTTTTTTTTTTTTATAAAAAAAGTAGTGTATTTCTCTTGTAATTATGTTGCTGGAATTTCTGTTTGGTTGAAGCTTGTCGGTGCTTGTGAATCTCAATTGTTGACAATTATTAGGAAAAAATTATATATATATATATATTTTGTAGGGTTCAATTATATATATTTTGGGTTTCCTAACTTGTAATATTGTTTGAATTACTACCTAGGAAATAAGTGAAAAAAACAAAGAAAACCATTCCAAAAATGAGTTTCCACATTATTTTGGATCGATGTCCTTCGTTAGACATTACGATACTTATGTACGTAATATATGAAACAATAATTATAAATTTTTTATTTTATATCCTACGTTCTAAATCATATATTTGTCTAATGGTCATTATTACTTTATACTGCAGGTCAAACTCAAAGAAAGGCAGAGCCAAGAAGATGAGGATGGTGAAAGGGATGAGGATCCTGCTATTCGCTTGTACAAGGATACACATTTTAAGGAACAAGGTGGATTGGCACACGAGAAAGCTAAGAGGAATTTTGTAAGTTAACTATAAGCTAGCATGTTGGATTATGAAATTTGGATCTCATAATGTTTTTGCGGTTTATAGGGGGTCACATGCCTTTAAGTGACCATTTTTGCGGTTTATAGGGGGTCGGTCACATGCCTTTAAGTGACCATTCTTGATTTTTTGTGCACAAATGGAGGTGGGGAATTGTTGCGGATGAAGTGTGGTTTTCATTCATTGCATTTCATGTTTAAAAACTAAAAATATATAATGGGAATAATTTTTTGAAATTATTTGTGCACAACGGCCATGTGACAAAGAGGGTTCACATTGAAAGAAGTTTAAAGTTGTGTTAATGTGATAAGGGAGATCATAAAAGAGAGCCTGAAAATTAAACTATGACTATACAGAAAATTTCCCAAAAATAAGCTATCACAAAATTTTTAGCAGAAGCCATCTATAAATGTCTAAAGAGCTTGTAACAAAGTTTAACCATCATTCATCAAGTATCAAAATAACTGGACAATAATGCAAAACAAATTTAAGTCCTGAAAACAGAAGACAAATATGAAAAATATGTTTACGGAAAGGCCCGGAGGAAAAGGATTCTTAATTCTTAATGACATATATTCTTTTGGCTCCTATTTTGCAATCTATGAAAATCAAAGTAGAGATGTGGAGAAAAAAGAAAAAAAAGTTGCTCATAATCTGATTATATGTGTGTAAAAGAGTATGAATTTGATTTTTAAAATGTTCAAACTGCTCTGAAGCTACTCAACAAATTTTAAATACTAATATCATTTCCTACTTTGGTTTTATAAAAAATAAAAATTATTAATTTAAAATGTCCAAACACTTGTGCAATGACAGTCACTTAAATGATGGCCTTGATGTTGATGGTGCCTTCATCCTATCTAGGGTTTTATTTTGTCTTTACTTTTTGTTTATGTATATTAGAATAATGCCACAATTTGGATGGCAGTTGTAATGGCCATCTTTTAAACTAGGAGTACTGTATTTTGAACATAAAAAAATAGTGCCAACACCTCGTTAGTCCAAGCTCCTAAAAAAATATATAAAAAATAAATAAATGGAAAATTATTCTAAATCTCATTTTTGAAGGTTGGAGAAATACCAAATTCAGGCCCTTTTTATGTTTCTATTATATTTATCATTCTGTTTATAAAATTAGTAAAACCTAGTTGGGCATGTAATAAGAGTATTTGTATTTGTGAGAAGACACTTATCTCTTAGATATTTTATAAATTTAATTAATCAAATTGTGATCCATATTCTTTACATTGGTACTGTCTAATTATAAATGAACTACAATTCTTTTTGTGATTGGCTGATAGCCCTCTCACATTCTAAATGAGTTTTGAGATGTATTGTCGCTTGAATTTGAATAGTATGTAGCAGTGCTCACAAAATATTCTTTGTATTCTCAAGAATTGTCATTTTTTAATTGAAAAGAACTTACTAACAATCAATAAAACTATCAAGTAGTCTAGCAGAAACTGCACTTTAGCTGGTTGTACAAAAGTGTCAACTGACAACAGCACATTACAGCAAATTTTTATATCTACTTTCCGTTACTTCAAATTCGTCAACAAGTTTCTCTATGAACATGTCAAATCAAGAGGCAATTAAATTGGGTAAAACAAAAACAGAAACATGTAAACTGTCATTTGCATACATAGTAGCATACAAGAAAAAACATTTAATGATCTGCGTACCCATCCTCACATGCTCTAGGAATTTCTAAAAGTAATAAGAGTATTTGTATTTGTGAGAAATCCTAAAGTTGAAAGAAGAAGCTGTGCTACCCTTTTTGTTGTGCAAGTGAGATATTTTATAAATTTAAAGGTCTGGTTTGTATTATGAATTTCTTTGAGAGATGAGAATGATGAAATGTTGAGAAAAACACATTTTTGTTTCTAGTTTCTAATATCAGATCTTGAATGTGTAAAGTATTCAAAATGTCTCTAGATTGCTTTCAATTAAAAAGTGCTTACAATTAATATGAGTTGTCATTTGTCATTGCAGTGTGGCCAAACTCATCCTTCCATTTTGAAAATAAGCATTTCAATAAGTAATTTTTTTTCTCTCTATTGAGATTAATATTCTAGCTTGCACATGATTTATTCTTATGCCATATTCTTTCAATTTGATAGCGCAATTAAATATTTTGCAGGATGCAATGAAAGAAAAGGTTGCACAAAATTCTCAAAATTCTGATGATACGAGTCCAATCATAAATGATGTTAAGATAATGCAAAACCAACTAGGCATAAGGAAGGGATATTGTCGTGGATTCGGACATGGTTTCGTAGCTCCAAAGCGTCAACGTGCCTCCTCATCATGTGACGAGGCTTCTAGGAAAAGGGCCGAAATTGATGAGGAAAGAAATATACAATTGGTAAAAAAGATGGATAAATTTGAGAAGATGCATAAGCAATACCAGCAATAGTTGCCACCATGGTTCCTCCAATATCAATAGCAGCAACAGTAACCGTCACTATGGTTCCACCAACAATATTCTCCATCAGATTCCCACCCGCAACAGCAGCAGCAACTGCCACCAATAAGATGGCAATATCAGCAGCCGTCACCAAGCACCACCACAACCACCAACAGAATGACTAATGTGATAAAGAGAGAAATTTTTTTGGTACACAAATTTTGGAGCCTTCTGATGATCAATTAGTTGATTACTAATTTTTTTTTTTTTTTTGGGTTGTATTTTGATGACTTTGTGGATTTATTTTGTTTCATGGCTAGTAATATATTTTTGAATGTTATTCTGAATCTATTTTGTTTATGTTTTGCATGTATCCGGAATCGTTAAACCCACAAATCAAGCATTAAAAAAAAAAATAGTAATAATATATTAGGGACAGTCTATCCGTCCCTAATTCAATAATTATAATTAAAAAAATAATGTATTAGGGACAGTCCATGCATCCCTAATAAAATAATTATAATTAAAAAATAATGTATTAGAGACAATTTAATGTCTCTAATACTATACATATTGGGGACAGTCCTCAAAACTATCCCATTCATACCTTATTAGTGACACCTCCCTAATAATTTTAGGGACAGTGTTATTTGGGACAATACGTATGGTCCCTAAATTATTTGAGCGTCCCTAAAGATCTTTTGGTACGCTACTTTTAGTGACGCACCAGTTTGACCTTTAGGGACGGTTTCAGAGCTTTTAGGGACAGTCTCGACTGTCCCTAAAACCCTAATTTCTTGTAGTGTCAACTAATAAGTTGTTCATTAATATTTATTATGTTTATATATATGGTGGTGGTGTTGATGAAATCATAATAGGTTGTTTATTTAAATTAATTATATGCTTATAACTTGCATGGAGTGCCTATGTATAATTTATTTCATAATTAATTGTAAAGTTTGGTATATGGTTAAATTGGAGGCATGGATGAGTTGTTAAATGCATAAATAAATTGTCTTATTAATTGTATGAATAAAATACATACATGGGAAACATGGATGAATTGCTAATTAATAGTATTGATAAAAAACATACTTTTGGAAGCATGAATGAGTTGCCAAGACATAAACAGATTGTCATTTAATAGGCATAGTTGATTTGCCAAAGTATAAATGTAATACTAGTGTAGGCATGATTGAGTTGCTATCGTATAAATAAACGTATTTCTAGAGACATGGTTGATTTGCCAAAACATAAATAAATATTTATGGAGGCATTGATAATTTGCCAAATTATAAATAAATTACTAGGTAAGTTAGATGATTAAATGTACATCTATGGATATTGTGTTTATAAGTTGGAGGTGATAAATATTCTTATTAGAATAAACTAATGTTTAAAGAATAATATATTATTTTATAATATTAATAAAATAATACTAGTGTAGGTATGGATGAGTTGCCAAAGTATAGATCTTTGCTATGTGATCTTTATAAATAAAATCATACATTGGTGGAAATTGGGATTTGGATTGAAGGAAAATATTTCTTGGATTATTATTTATTATTTAAATGGTTAAATAACTGTTTAAATATGGAATTTAGGTTTAAAGGAGTTTTCTCTTAAAAGTGAATGTACTTGATGGTTAGTTTAAATATGGAGGTAGTCTTATAATTGTTTATGGTCTTGGATTTCCAGGAATATATTAATGAATATATTCTTTATATATTTATATATATAATATATATGTATCATCTTATATTAAAGGCTAAAACTTTAATTAGGATGATTTTGGTTAGAAATGTTTTGGTTTTTCGAGGCTTGGTAGAAGGAACTTACTCGTGGGTCTAACCCACGATTTATTTTTCAGGTTATTAGAAGTTCTAATCTCGAGGTTGAGGATCTACAGTTGGGAGACTGTCATTCATCTACTTATCTTGTTTACTTTTTAGTATTGTTATTTATTGTTAGATATCTGGTGAATTAATAGTTTATAATTTAGGGGTCCTTGACTTATAGGATTCCCGAGTTGTATTTTAGAATTTTAAATTCATGGAATTTATTTTTGTAAAGGAGGTTTATTTTATTAATAGAATTTTATTTAGCGATTTATTCATTCTTTTTATTATTCTTGTATTTTGTGTTCGTTTAAATACTAAATTGTTTTGATATTCCCATATTTTCAGGCCTGGCCAACCTACACATGAAAATTTGTGGGTATCACATACATAGTGCCTGTCGACACCTTCTCCTCATTATCCTCGATCTCCATACACTCGAAGTACCGCTCCATGTGCCAGAAGAAGTTGTCAATCTGGCGTGCATTCCTTGCCCCATCATACTCTTTGGGCTCTGGCGTCTTCTTCTTACTTGGCTTCACCACGATCTCACGCGCCTGGGAGAGCTTCTTCTTGCACTCGTCAATCTCCATATGCAAGTCGTCTACCAGATCATGCAAGTCCCTTTCCTTCTCTCATGCCTTGATGGCCATGCTGTCAATCAACTCGTAGAGCTCTGCCATCTTTCTCTCGAGCCTGTTGAACTTGGTCTCCGTGTAGACCAAGTGTGTGGTGACCTTTTCCTCCAAGATCTGCTCCAAGACATGGACATGGTGGTCTTTTCCGCTAGCCATATCTACTCCAATAAAGCTTCCTTAACGAACCTGGCTCTGATACCAGTTAACTATCACGGGTTTAGAGTTTCAGCGCACCACTCTAGCTACTCTTATACAGCACCAAGACGTTGCTTCTATTCTCGCAAGTACTTGGTCAGCCTCACTCCCGTGCCCACCTTAGCCAACGCACTCTCCTCGTGCGCTTACTAGTGTTGTAGTGGCCTTTTCCCTCTCCTCACTTGGCTTGCACACTCACACACACTAAGGTATTTAAGTTGGCAAGGAAAAAACACTTCTATTACTTCAAAGAATGCTTTGTACAAGGCTAACTCTCAAACTCTCTACAAGGCTCTCAAGACTCACTCCAGGACTTGTTGGCTACAAAATGAAGTCCTTCTCCTATTTATATGCATCCCCATCCCTAATGGACGGCTAAGATGCATTCTAACCGATGATGGAGATCGATTCTCTAGAATTTTCTCTCACATTCTTCACACTTCCATACATATCTACAAGTATCTACAATATTCTAGAACTCTCCACACTACTCTACACAATTCTGGAGAACTCTAAAACCTTCCACACACTTCCACACATATCTAGAATCTTCCACATAACTCCAGACAATTCCGGAAGATTCTAGAAACTCCTCTCGCCATGTAGTTGCCATGCAGCTTCCTACTCAGTATCTGCGTGTCGCCTGCGTAGCGTAACCTCCGTAGGCAAAGCGTGACAATTAGGTCCCTAAGATCCCTCTGTTTAAGTTTGTGAACTTAAGTGAAGAAATTCTTGAATACTTCGTTTCCAATTGTCCTCTTCTTGAATCTTTACATGTAAAAAGCTCGAAAGATTTGGCTCCATTTGTTTCGATGTAAAATATTCTTTTTAAAAAATATTTTTCTTTTTCAGGTAAAATATTCTTTTATTTTTACTTTGTCGGTATTTGGCAAATATTTACGTCGAGGTTAAGGTCGAGTCCATCAAACAGAGCATGTAAAATAACTTGCCAAAAATTTATGAATAAATTATTTTTGTTAAATTTTAATATTTTTTTTCTTCGTAAATCCTTTTTGTAAATAGTGCATCAATTTCTAACAGGAGCGTGATTTAATATATTCTAAAGTTATTACCATAGTGATCATTTTTTATTTTTTTATTATTATTATTTTATTATTTGGTTTTTTTTTTTGGGTGAGGATTACCATAGAATAGCGATCTTTGCTTGGTGTTACTAGTTCGAGTATGACTGCAAATACTTTTTGTAAAAAATTATATCAAAGGTTAGGTTTGGATTGAGTAAATCCTCTCAACATCCCACGTAACCCCAACACTAGGTAGTGACATTTTTAATTTTGTTATTTTATGATAAGTTTTGCTTTTCAGGGTAATCCAGGATTCAAACAACTTCCTGAATTTACCAAGCTCAAACACTTGACATTGCCAGTTGAGGCAGACGAATGTTCAAGCCTTCTCAGTTGGACGACCTTGATAAATGCACCACCTTTGCTGCACAAATTTAAATTGCAGGTAAATATTTTTTTTTGTATACGGGTGTTTTGTATAATGACACATGATAATTATCTCGTGTCTTCCTCTGACAGCAACGGCCATGGATAGAAGTTACTGGCATTAGATAATTGTCTTCTTTATATAAAGTTTTCTAATCTTTAGAAAAATATCATAAAATTGTAATTTATATAATTGTTGATCATTAAAAAAAATTATCTGTGGGTCCCATCTTGTGAATTACATTGTATCATATCTACTTGTAGTTGAAGACAACATAAAGGCAAAATCATATCACAATGGAAATACTTCTATATTGGTCGTCGCATAATATCTAAATCTCAATTTTGTACCAACGGAGTATGTTATTTTAGTTTTTTTTAATCTGTTATAGTAGCTCCATAAAGAAAGGCATGAGAGAGGGTCACAATCAATGCTTACTAGAAGTACACAAAGCTATATTAATATGTCATATAGTTTCATAGATCTTTAATGTTGAGACAAATTTATGAATTGAAACCATTTACCCTTTGATAATGTTCTACAACCAAAAACATAATGTATAGCTGAAGATTCATACACGTTGAGAATAACGGTTGTGATTTATCAATGATTCTTTTAGAGTTTCAAGAACTTTCTGTTTAGACTTCATATTTCTTGAATTCTATAATTGCATTAAATATCAAATAATAATTAATTGCATTATTGAGTATCCTTGTAGTTGAGTTTATGTTTTAGTAAAGGCAGAAACAAGTCCAAAGGTTTCTTAAATAAAGGAATCAACTTTTAGGACTAATTTGGTGTGGTGGAATGAATTAGAATGGAATGAAAATGGAGGTGGAAATGAAATGGAATGGTTATTCTTTTTGTTTGAAGGTGGAATGATTTTGATGGGATGATCATTCTCCAAGAATAGTGAGGAATGGTGATTCCAACTTTAAAATTGACATTAAACACGAGAATGGAAAAAAAAAAAAATTTATTCCATTCCACCTCACTAAAACTAGGCCTTAATGTTTTCTTTCACTGACGAACCATAAAGTTGTTTTAAAATAATTTTCTAATATATATTTTTTTCTTTGTGTAAGAAAATTTTGTAAAGTGTATTCTTGAAAGGAGGGGCAATATAACATCACCCAAAGCAATTGTTGTAGAGAATAATGTACCCCTTCTGTCTTAAAATTCTTTGGGTGTTTGGAGAATATAACTTTTTTGGATAAGAGTAAAATTT